AATAGATATCTTTAGGGTCCCAGCTGGCCTTTAAAAACATTAATTTAGATAAGGGAATGCAGAATTTTTGCAGAAGACATCTACAGAATAATAATATATTGCATATGGTAGTATGACGTTAATGTATACTGTGCATCAAAAGAACCTTATCACTCTACTGTATATCTATACATCTGTATGGTTTAGAAAAATAAAATCTGCAGAATTGGGATTAAAATGATTAAAATGTTTTAGCATATTTTGCTTAATTAAGCATTCATGACAGGCTTTGATACATTCATGTAACTAAATCACCACATTAGTGAGAGTTGTTGGGCACAGGTGGTGAGGTAAAGCCTTAAAAACAGAAAATAAATACAGCAAATAACAATACGGTATGCCTCATCAAGAGAACAGAGTCCTTTTGTGATCTGTATGTTTGACTGTATGCTGTCATTCAATGTCTGGAGTGTTCAGAGTCAAATATGTATAACCAGACAAAATGATGTAACTAAAAAGTATGGCAATGCTAGACAAATATACAGTATGGGAGAGAATGTTCTCATTATGAACTCAGTATAAACTGTGGTGTCTTATCAAGGGTGTTGTGGTGGACCAAACGTGAGGGTCTAGCCAGGAGTGACTACAGAAGCTGCTACAGAAATTAAGGAATTTACCTGCAGTGATTGATGGCGACTTGATTACAAGCAACTACATTGATCAAGTCCCGGGATTCTATCTGCTGCTCTTCCCACTTGTTCATCCAGATGCAACACGATTCCAACAGGTCACTGCACATCCTTCTGCTGTTCATTTAACAATAGCTTTTGTGCAAGAAGAAATTGTTACAGTTATGCCATGTATACCCTATTTCTCAGACCCGAGCCACATGGAACACTGTTAGCTGAGATGGAGTGTCATCTAGGGCTCAGAGACCAGTGAAAAGGCACATACTACTCCAGACCTCATGAGCAGATGGGAAAAGAATCAATGAAGGCAGCATCTGAAACATGGGAAAAACATGCAACTCAGATGCACGGCCTGTACGTCAGTGTTTCTAACACTGGCCACATGTACGCCTAGCCTGTGACTTTCAAAGTATCTTTGATGACAAAGGCTAATCAGCAGAATTTACCAATGTCATGACTGTTCAGTTCAAAAGTCAGCACATCTGCTACAAAAAAGATTGTGTCATTTTACCTTACAACTTATGACCTTATCTGTGAATTTGTTACGGTAATACATGATGGTTCTTTTCAGGCACAAATTCATGCGCATTTTCTTTATTTTTTAATATGCATTTTGGAATAAGATACTTCTCTCCCTAAAATATTTTGAAATTTAGATTGTTTATGATTCTGTTTAATTTTTAGGATTTATCCAAATAACTCTGCATTTTCACTCAAAGGAATATCTTTAAGGAGGTACAATACCCTGAACAAGCTATTGAAATACCTTTATGTAAGCCAAGTTACCATATGTTGATTTATGAGGCAGTTATTTTGGTAATTACAGTACTTCATTTATGTTCCATTATTCATTATGAACATAAGTAAGGTTATGAATGTTATGTAAGAGAGGAGACCATACAGACAGCTGTGCATGAGTGATCTCAGTTGACTCAATTTGTGGACATGAAATTGAATAGAGAATTGAAAGCCTGTAACTAGCTACAGTATACTCTGAGGGAGAGAGCAACGTTTCCACCATTTGGACTATACAGTATATTTCAAAATCTCTGTTTGAGTACTGTCATGTATTGCCCAATAGGAAATCACTGATGCACATTTGTGATATGCTATAGCGCTGGATAATACCGCTGTTTAAAGCATATGACTCCTCCTTAGATCTACAGTATACTACTTGATGAAGCATGAGTGCTTAGGCTGAATATAAGGACAAAGGAGGAACTTACAGTGCCTTCAGGAAGTTTTCAGAAAAATGGTTTTTAAATTTTGATATATAGAATGACAAGAATTAAAATTTTATTCAAAATCTGAAAGCTAAAACTGAAGACATCTGAGGATAAGTTACAGTAAATGTCAGCAAAAAAAAAATGTTTTGATTACATAAGTATTCAGACACGTGAACAAAATACTTAGTGGAAGCACATTTGGCAGCAATTACAGCCATAAGCCTTTTTTGGGAAAGTCTACTTATTTTGCACGCTGACACTGACACTGACTAGGTGCAATTTTTGCCCATTTTTCTTGGCAGATTTGTTCAAGCTCTTTCAAGTTGTTTGAGGATTGCTTATGGACAGCAGTTGTGAAGTCTTTTTTATAGGCTGTCAATTGGATTCAACTCAGGACTCAAGGACATTCAGTTTGTTATTTTTAAGCAACTTCATTGTAGCTTTGGGTCACTGTCCAGATGAAAGCTGATTTTTTGTCCCAGTTTTAGGTCTGAAGCAGGTTTTCCTCTTGGATCTGCCAGTATTTTGCTTCTTTTCTGTTCCCATCAGACTTGACAAGCTTCCCAGTCCCTGCTGATGAGATGCAGAGCTATAACATAATGCTGCCACCACCATGCTTGACAGAAAGGATGCTGTTGACTAAGTGATGCACTATACTGTGTTCATGAGATGTAACGCTTTGCATTTATACCAAACGTTCCAATTTTGTCTTGTTTGACCACAAAACCTTTTGTTTCAGTATTATTTACATGCTTTGTTGCACATTCTATGCAGGAGATGAGATGGATTTTCCATTCTGCAGTACAAGCCAACTTTGTGAAGTCACTTCTCTTTATTGACTTTTTTCCCACATTTTCTCCCATTTCAGCCATTGAACTCTGTAGTTTTTCAAAGTTGCTGTTGGCCTCATGGTGGCATCCTGAACCAGTTTCCTCCTTGCCAGGCTGCTCAGTCCGGATAAATTACCTCATCTAGGAAGTGTCTGGGTGCCATCCACATCTTAATGATTGACTTCACCATTCTAAAAGAGATACTGTATATTTTTAATGTTTTTATACCCTTCTTCTAATCTGTGCTTTTATACAGCTTTATCCCTGAGTAGCGTCACTTGTGAGCTGTTTGTGTGAATATTGCTGAAGGGATTATATCCCCTGCTCATAAGGGCATGGAAAAGGATACAAATACAGAAAGTCTTTGGTCTGTTTTGCTCATTTGGCTGCTAGTGGCTTGAAGATTTCATCAAGCCTTTTCTGCTTTCACAGTGCAACTGAGAAATCATGCTTGTGACAGATACCCACAACCTCTGCGCAAAGAGGTTTCTCTGATCCTTAGTCATAAATGCACAATCCTCTAATTTGTGCTGACGTTCTGTATGATTTTAGTTGAGCCTCCTGTAAATGCAGGATATTCACAAGATCCCCTAGTGGGCAAATGAGGCGCCTGCTGAACATGCTCAGCCATGGTTAGCAGGCTGCTGGCATGTATACCCACTTGGGCACTGGCGTTTCTACAAAGTGCAAACCCACTAAAGGGAAACTTCCACCTTAAAAAAGGTACAGCATGTCTTTGGAAAATGCAGCTCGCATGACTGAATCCCAGCAGGCATGGGTATAATAAGGCACTAACAAGCAGATAAGAATTGCACTGTATACCAGTGTTGACCTCATCAAATCACATGCAGAGAACCCCACATCACCAAAATATTGGATATCATCATATATTCTTCTTTGGAGGTATACTTGTATAACAGCCTTGAATCCATTTGAAAACTGTGGTTTATTGATGTGGTAAAAGGCACAGAAAGTGTTTAAGTCATGCCTATAATTTTCTAACGATTATTTAGGTTTCCATATACCCATAATACAAATTTTAGATGAAAGTACCATAAAACAATAAGAATTAAGCAGTTAAACCTGTTCTGTGCTCCTGTTAATCATTCCAAAATAAACGGAAATACAGATTTTGAAATTCAATTTTTTTAAATACATTTTCTTGATATGTTTTCTTTGAAAAAAATCAATAAAACTCTCATCAGGCCCGCAACGTTGAAGATGGAAAGCTGAGGTTGAAGGAAAACAAAAATGCAGAGGCCTGTAACACAAGCAGCTGTCCTGCTAATGAGAAGCAGGTTTGGGTGGTTGCTAAGTGACAGGACCTCAGGAGCCGGCAATCCTCAGACTCCTTCGCACAGCGAACGCACCTCTGCAGTAAAAGCCTCACTCACTACCCAAGTCCAGCAACCCTCCTCTGGCAAGCGAGGAGGGAAGGGAGGCAAATGAGAAACAGACGCTGTTTCCCTGCTGTTCTTTCTTTCAGTATTTTTTCTTTAAAGAAAAAAAAAAGAACATGCTCCAAAAATAGTTTTATGGATCGCGTGCCAGTGGGTTTTGAAGACTTTTTTTTCACTCCTTCTAGTCACGCAACTAGCACGGCAGGATCTTGGAGGGATGGGGGGTAATCCTCAAGAGGATTTGTCAGGGAGATTCAACACAGCAACAGCAGGACAACATGCCTCCACTGCCTTCTGTGGTGACGCAGGTGTGGTATACTTAGATGAAGTGTCAGTCTAGGATTTCAGCTTTTCAGCTCAGTACACATTCGAAACCAATAGGGGTCCCTGCTTTGCTGGTAGTAGACAATAGATCAAATCAAAATGTCAAGAGACAATTCACGATTTCCAGTTCTTGAATTGTGAGTGGACCTACAGCATATTCCGTTATCAAATGTGTCCAGTTCTTTGTGTACAATAAATGTTTAATATTGTACTGACTTGTCTGTCAACTGCACACAGCTCCGGTACTTTAAGGATTCAATGTGCTACCTGGCAATTTGGAAGTAGTGCAGTCCTGCATCTGATTATTAAAAAAAAATAAAAACGGCATGACACAGTGCTGTCCGTGATATTGCAACACCAACTGTCGTATACAGACTGACACCTCACACATTCTACATGGCTGCATCCGTATCAAGATCCTTTAAAAATCCTCAGGGCTTTGGGATAAACATATTAATACAGTATAGGATTTGAGCAAATAAGCCAGTTCTCATTGTTCTTTAAATTTTGAATGTTTTCAAAAGATATATGTTAATAATGAACCCAAGACAGTTTTTAACAAATATGTCCATTAAGTTTATTAAGGCATCTGTTATCAAAACAATGGCACCAAAAAAGAAATATTGGCACTTTAGTGCTCAAGTATAAAGTCCAGGGGCAGAAATATCTAGCGAGTATCTGCCTAACAATGTACAGCTACATACAAATCTTCCAAGAACACATGCAACTTCAAGAATACATTGAAAAAACAAAACAAAGGCTTTACAACAGGTAAAAAATAAATAAAAATGACATTTGCTTTCCTTCCCACTTAAAACTTACATTAATGTACAAAAGGTTTATGACTGAAGTCATGCCAAGAAAGTGAATGCCTTATTGCAAGTGAGTCAGAATACTTATGTACAGTAAATGTTAAACTAACAAGTAGAGAGGTCTTCAAAGACTGAGGTCCAGAAATACAAAAAAGGAGAAGAAACGTATCTTCATTGATAACAAAAAATACCACTTTTATTCTTTTTAAAGCTAAACTATGTGTGCACTTATCAAATAACTATGTGTGCGACCGGTTTTTGAAATAATTATGTCTGCCTGCTACTGACCAATTCCATGTTTTTAACTAACTTATCAGCAAGACTTAAACTCTTGGGTTAAGGACTAAGGCCTGGACATAATCAAAAGCTTGACCCATCTCAACAATTACGAACTCAGAACATAGCCCTTTCTGGTGGCTTTCTGTACACACCTAATGCCCTTCTTCAACTATGCAGTTTGGAATTTGTGATCGGCATGTGGATCAAAGTTGTGATTTGATGCGGGGCTAAGACAAGCAATATTTTACTGAATACACATCAATGTTAAACTGGACTGTCATACGCAATTATGCCAGAATACAGAGAGAAATTAGTTGGGACAATTATCATCAGCTAAATGCTTCTTAGCTACAATAATTAGATTTTTAGCTTTCAGTAGATTTGTCTTTGTCTGAATTTTTATAATTTGCATTTAAACCTGTCTGGATTTGTAGCTTTAACCATGTTTAAATGTTCGCATTTGAAACTATGGGTGAAATACAACTGTGCATACAGTATGCACATTCATCAGTGTACTTTGATTTTCAATGTCCGGGGTATCTCAATGAGTCGTTTGACTTTTTATTTCTACATGTTGTTTCAGCACCTCTGCTGCTTTTCTGTTTAAAATGTCCCTCTAAGAAAATATACGAGCCAATCCAAGTGTACATACAGTATAATGATGTCAAACACAGCAAGGTCAGGTTACATCCTTTCTGCAAGCACAGACTAGGGAGTACTGACAAAATGAGATCCAGTTTCATTATGAAGGATGTCTGCCCTACATGTTTCATCAGCCAGGGCAGGTTCAGCCAACACTCAGTTGCTTGTACAAGTGACGTAATGCGAACTGTGGTCATGAGACTAAACAAGTTAATTTCTGGGATGCGCCAAAACACTTGAAGTGCCTTCAAGGTGATTATTTCTTCTATGAAATGTATATTTATAAATTCTGAAGAACACAGATATATAATACAATACAGTAAAGCTAAATTAAAGAATAAGAATGAACGCAATACATCATTATGTGACAAAATTTGGTGGGATTCTAAAATCTTGGGAGGATTTATTGATGACTTCTAACCTTGCAGATAAAAAACCCAGAATTATCTTTAAATCAGCTATAGATCCATATTCTTTATGAATGCTAAACCAGAGTTAACAGGTCACTGACATGGAAAAGAACACTAGATATTAGAAACACACTTGTGCCTTATATGGCAACTTTTGTGTGCACACATTTTAAATACAGAGACAGTCATGGCTGCGCAACCCCCCCGCCCCAGAAAACTACATCAGCTTGACAACACCCATTTGCTTCCCCCACACAGCTGTGTCTGGGCTTTGCAAATAAGATGTCTCTGATTATTCCTGATATCAATACTATCTCAGATGTCACACATGTTGTAAATACAGTGACCCCTGTCTACTTCCCAATTTCCAGTAGTTTAAATGTGTTAGAAAGCTGACAGATATTAATGCACACCACCTATAATAACTTTAAACTCCTCAGCATCCTGACAATGAGAACATATTAGGGTAAACAGATTTAAATAAATAACAGGTAGCCGACAGTGAACAATTAAGCCCAAAGTTAATGAACTAGAGATTTGGGAAAGTCAGGTTCACTGTGACAAGGTCAGCGATATACAGTATGTATTGACCTTTTGAAGAATTAGAAATGCACAGAAGATCAAAAACAGTACTGGAATCTGGGGTGGAACGTCCTTGAATTTCTTTTCCACGAGTCTCCTTATTAAGAGTTTTTTTTGAAGGAAGAAGAAAAAAGTACTCTTCAATTCTGTGTTTTGTGCATATGGTGTTAATTTGTAAAAATAAAGCTTCTGAGTGCAGGATTGGGGTTGTAAAGAGCAGGCTTTTATGTGAAGCAGCTTTAAGTTGACTTTAAATCACTCTTTTATTTGATTTACCTTGGTGTTCAATTACTAAGCACATGGCCTTGTGTGCAGCACATGTACTTATTGGAGAGGTTATGGGTTCGACCTAAGAGCAAGGCCGCCCCAGAATAAGCCCACGTTAGCAGGTATCTACGGGGGCTGCATGTCTTCAGTATATTTCTTCAGCTGCTTATGGTAGAATACTGTATATCTATGATAGATGAAGCAGAAAAACAAATGACTGAAAAGTTCTAGCCTTCCTCAGGTTCCTGTGTCAACATTTTTAAATTAAAAAATAAAGTACTGTATTTCTCAGGAACTAGCATTAACTACAAAAAATGAGAATCAGCTTCACATTACTGATACCATATGTAATTTGGTACAGTAGTAGTATCTTTACAGGGTGTGTTAATATGCAATACAGTGCTTGGGATGTTTGATGACTTTCTTGGACAGAATGTTTTCTTTGTTTTTGACTAAAACCTAGGTTGCACTGCTCTGGCATGAGAATTTTCTATTTTATAGTGCTAATTTAAAAGAGCAGGTGATATAAGTACTTAAATAATGACAAGGCACAAGCACCAAAACATCGGCAATTACTGTACGTATTGGATATTCACTTTGGGAAAGTTAAGGTTTTTCCTGAACCCTTCCTCTCAAGGTTTAAGTAGGACAGTATGCACAGCAAGATACCTGAAGATGTTTATGCCTGCGGATCCAAACTTAATACAATATAGTCTTCTTTAGGTTCCAATTATGTTGAGAAAGAAAAGAATAAATACACCTTTCCACCCACCTTAAGGCAAAGATGCAGGATCTACACTCCAACCCATTAATACTGAAAACAGTCTGGTTAAGTCGAGTGCACTTATACAGTAGTAACAAATTCCCTTCTCTTAATTCTAAAGACATTGACAAACTCAGGGCTTTCTCTGTGCGTGTGCCTAACCACTGATGCTTAAGGTTTACTATAGCTTTCTACCAGCAAGTTGTCTCCCAGTAGTTTGATCACTTTATAACTTAGGCTTTCAATCGATTTTTTACTACAAGATAACAAAAAAGGGAATTTCAACATCATGCCACAGGCCCTTTTTGAACTTATAAGCTGGAGGTCAGCATTTATTTGTAGACATACTGTAGCTGATAGGAACCAGATGTGATGACCAACATGAGAGAAACGAAATTGTATCTAGAGTGTATCTATACCCTGTATGTTTAACATGCAGTTAAAATGGAGTGATATTCACTACAAAATATGTGGAGACACTACACACTGTGAACATAGTCACTGAATTTCAAATAAAAACTGAACAATTCTCTGGTCGTCATTCTCTGAAGCATATCAGAGGAGAAAACATTCTCTCTGGACCCCAGTCTGCTTAAAAAAATATTTAGTCTATTTACATTTGTGATACGTCTTTGTCATTTAAGATCAATCAATTAACAACAATAAACACTGACAAAACACTTTTTTTCTTATAAGACGGAAACAAAATTGAGTCACACAAAGGAACTCAACTAAGTATTATTGTAAGTATTTTTCTTCAATGAGATGCTTTTTAAAGATGTCCTCCTCAGTCTAGGTTGACCACATAGTTCTACGTTTTGTGGGGTGTTTCAGGACACAACTTCAAGGCAATCCTATACCGTATCACTTTGAGGAAAAATGACATACTAAAGTACCGTCAAGCACTCGAACAGCATTTGTTACACACATATTAAATGGTCACAGAGAACCTTAACTTATGCAATCACCCCATTGAAGTCTCCTATTCTTCCATATTAGAATTGTGGAGAAGGAAAATGAGGTAAGCCTTTTGTTAAATAACACATAAAAAGGTGGCGAGGTCCAAATGGCTATTGGCATGTAGACCTTCAGTGTACAATGAAGTGAAAAAAGAAAAACCTGCTATGATATTTGAGATTGTAATAAAACAGCTATTTACAAAGCAATTCCAAATTATCTCAGTATAGCCTCCTGGGAAATTGATAATTGTGCTTCACTTTGTAAATGATTTGAATTGTTTTGAATTTCCCTGCATCCATAATGTGACAGTATCCACCGACTTAGTTATTACAGAGCTAAGAAGAGCCAAAACCAAAATCCAAAGGGAATGTATCCCATTTTCTTTCTCCCTGGAATGTTTTCTCAGGATTTGACAAATTGAGAGGAGTGAGACTTATCAGACTCTTAATTATGCTTTTTGGAGGAGTCTGCTCCAAACTAATAAAGGTACATTTCTACCAACATGTTAACAATTAAAATAAAACCACAGATTCCAAGACTGTCAATAAATGCAACTTGTTGATGAAAAAATAAATGGAATGGAAATTCCAGGATTTTATTTCAAGGCAAGTGTCTGAATAGTATTAAAACTTCTTACACTAGGGGTCAACCAGAAACCTTAATTAAACATATATTGTTCATTTTTGGGAAAAAACAATTCCAAAAAGATCCAAGAAATTGAAAGCATGGCTTCAATCAAATATGGCAGAACATGAACAAGACTTGGGCTATTCACTATTTTAGTAATATTATGAAACACTGCACAATACAAATTAAATATACAGTTATCAATAGCAAAACAGATTTCAAAATACTGTATGTATTGTTTTGTATTCCTGTACAAATATAACATGAATTTGCTACCTTTAGAGTGCACCACTTGATCAGAGGATTGACAAGGTTAGTAATTGAATCTAAGTCACTAATGGAAGGCCAATCAATACTTACTGTATTCAGGATTATCCACGCCATGCACATGGGGTATGCGAGATCGATTAGCGGCAATATGCCTTAAACGACACCCTCTATAAAATTACAATTGGAATTACTGGTACATCATTAAAGAAGGTGGGCGTATAAAAAACCTAATGGTAGCCAAAATGAACGGTCACTGTACATAATCTGAATCAACTAACTAAGGGATAGGTTCTTCTGCCACGGCAAAATCCCACAGTACATATGTTAATCTAGTGAATAAATTTAGTCTTGGCCAATAATCATTTCTAAGAAGGAGGTAGACTGGCCTAGAGCTTGTGGTTTGGGCCAAGTAGAAAGAGTCAAGTTTCAAACACAATAAACACGTTATGACTTGGTGTTTGGTCATTACCTCATTGTACAGATTTTCTCTTTCTTGTAACATCTCTGTGTAACTTTAAATACTCCTGGCATGCTCTCAGTTATCCTCAGACTTGAGACATGAGAGTCTGGAATAAGCGCTTAAGGACAACATGATACCAGTTCAGAGGAAAACTCACGTCAACAGGCAGTTGAAATGCGTGGTTACAGAAAACATCAACAATGCAGGTCAGGGAACTCTAAGAAAGCAGTTCCTGTTTAAAGTTGTACAAAATGAATTACCACCAAGTTAAAAAAAACAATTGTGTAACCGAAAAGCAATTGGAAACACGTAAGAAGGTCGAGAGACCTTAGACTGTTTTAGGTTAGGTTGAATTTTTTGTGCAATCTGTTGTTTGTCTCGTCCAGCTTGGAGACTCTTGGCTTTCTTTGTTATTCTGTAAACCCTGATTATTTTGTTGATTCTTCCATGTTAATAAAAAACTTATTGCTTCGTCCTCTTTTTAGAGGAAATGAGGCAGAAATCTGTCAGTCTGTAAACATGCCTGTTTTCCACATGGAAGCATATGGAGGAAGAACATCCCATTAATTACTGGGCTATGTCAACGTTATATACTGTACTGTATATTTGTTAATGCTTTGTATCTTATTTTCATTTTACATTATATATTTTTTTACCACCTTCATTTAGCCTTCGAAGTTCAACTCAAGTGTTTTCTTTCTTTCTGTGGAAAGGACTACGTACATAATGACAGCATGGAAAGTTCGAAGTTCAAAACGAAGATAGAACAGCTTGCGTGTCTTTTACTTCATCTGTACACTATACAGATGTGTTTGTACTGTTCTGGCTGAGTTTTTTCTCAGCCTTGTGTTTGAATGTATTATTTTTTGTAATAGCTGCCATCAACTTTTACAGTTTTCCAAATGATGCAATATTTAATTGTTTTCTCTTGCACTTTCAAAAGCCAACCTTGACACAAGCAGTTGAGCCTGGCCCTCCGCTTCAAAAGAGTGATGGTTTGACTTCACAATGGGTCAAGCTGCCTGACAAATCACATTTAACTCAGACCTCTTAATTTGTTTCTGTCAGAAGCTGAACAGCATCTTAAAAGTAAGGTTTTACAGATGAGATCACTATCTAAACCCCTCAATTCTTATGTTTTATATGTTTTACAATGTACAAGCAATGTAGCAAATGTTAGACATTTCTGGGAATATTTGCCTAATATATTATAATTATAATATATATGATTAATATAACAAATATGGTATTGAGGCTCCTAACAAAGGCAAATATTTAAGTTTGGTCTCAAGCATAAATGTATTAAGGGGTTTAAAAATATAGATTTTGTGGGAAGAAAATTGTCTTCCCAATTCGCTTGGGTTATTGATACATTTCTTTTATATTCTCAGAAAATCAGGTGCAAAAGAAGGCTTTTTGCAGCTTTTATAGCTTCTATCAAGATGGTTTCCTAACTTATGTAAATATGTATTTTACCTTTTTAGAACTGACTTCTCTATGAGACCACGATGATGTCACATTTTGTATTTTACTGGATAATGGTGCCTTAAAACAATCAGCAGATTTCTAGCTGCTTATAGACAAAACATCAACTCAAAAAAAGATGCAGTTATCAGCGCAGTGGTTTTGAATAGTTAGGGCCTCATGCTCATCAGCAATTAGACTGAGTGTAGGTATCTAGTGACCTGATACAAGATCTTAAATTATGTCACATGAAACAGCACAGGAATACTGTTGCCCTGTACTGAATAGCCTCACTGTTAATTTTAAACACAAACGACTGACTACACTGTTGGAACCCAGAAGAAAGATATTACTGACCTATCCTCACACAGGAGGTTTGTAGGCTGAAGCACAATTTGTAGTCAAGAAACCTTTCTCCCAGTCAATATACAATAAAAGCAGCAAGTGTTGAGGTTTATGAATTGTTTGTTTTTCTTTCTAGAAAAAGCTCCTCAACATTTCTGTGGCCTCCCCATTTGAACTGTTGACAATTCATCACTGAATGCAAACTGGACCGTTGATTTCTGTCATAATGTATCCATCATCAGTGACCTTTATAAATGAAGATGAAATGCTTCTTCCATTGGCTTATTTTAACTTTGCAAAAGAGTCATACAAAACCTGGACAGCACATTAAGAAGTGGTTTAGTTAGAATCCCAGAAGTTTAAGTTATGGAAGGTCAGCACTGCTGCCTGAACCTGAAATTAGGAAAAAAATGGTATCCAAGTGTCTCCTTCGCTTGAACCACTGTCATTTGTTAAGTGAGCTACAGTGGCCTCCCCATCACAAGTTGTTGTTTTTTAGGTTTTTGGTTTGTCAAAATGAACACAAAAATCCCCATGGCGTATCTGCAGAGGCCATTCAATATTGAGGGAAAATATTTCCATATCTCCTACAATCTGCTGTAGCGAGCACAGTTTTATAAATATAAAAACTCTCCAATCACCCACATCGCAGACACCAAAAGTCTCTATATTTCACAGGCACACTGAAATGCAATCCTAGATAAAAATAAAAAGCTTACATATCATTACAAACATACTCATATACATAGACATATACATAATATGAGGCCAACCTTCGACAAAAGGTAATGTCACACTCTAGTCAGATAAAAAATGTTTGTATGTAACAAAATAAATCATATAAACAAAAATCTTCTTTCCCAGCTGTCTGGTAAACAGCCAAGTTTTCTGACAACGAAAGGTGCAAATACCGGTTATTTTTATGTCTTGAACACTGAAAGGTATTTGTCTGAGTGATACAAGTGGTGTGATATTTTCCATGGAGAAAAAACTAAGTAAGATGACAATGAGCTTTTTGGCCTCAGAAAATAATACTTAAAGAGTTTCACAGCCACCCCGATCATTAAATGAACACAGACTCAGCTCTCTGGCCAGCCAGTGAGGCTACACAAAAAGAACACAATTTTCCAAACACATCCAGATAAGTAGATACTGAAACAATGCAGAAAAGAATCTGCCAGAGCGCCGTACATATAGGGATATCCATGGTGAAGAGGTGCTGAAGAGGCTGAGGCCATGGCACCAGAAATTGCTGCCTATATTTCAACATTAAGTTAGAGCTTGGTGAAATTTACAACAGCATTCTGACATTTACAGCTTCTCTTACTTTTTAAGCAGCTTCACTTTGTATATTGGCAATATTTCTTTTGAAAATTAATTCAGAACAAAGGAAATCTCTCTCACTGGACCACCTCTGAGCTTCTCTGGCAGCAAGGTTTTGGCAGTAATCTTGGTTCCTACACGCAAAGCACTGAGGGTCTGAAACCACACCACAGCAGGTGAAATGATTCTTACGTAATCAGCCATACTCAAGTTTTGCTCTTGTTTCTGAAGAAGGTAGGTTGGTTTAAAGAAATGACTTCCCATCACTGGTGTTCCTCAGCTGTTTGAAAGGATTGTTAAGTCAAAAGAACTCTAACAAGAGGACTAGGCTCATTCTATCAAGGTGAGGCTCATTTGTTCCAAACAAAGAATTGTAGGTGACCCATCAACTGACCCATCCATGAGAGGATTCTTTTTCTAGTAACAGTATAAATGTTGTAGAACCCAAGAATCGTGTTTCTCATGCCCTGCAAGTAAGTCATTGTCACATAAAGCCTGAAAAGCTACAGATTCTTAGTTCTTTCTCATTTGGTTTCTTTTGAGTTTGGATAAGGTCCAGTACATACTCCTCATTTTGCTCGATAGTTTCATCACATGGTGTTTTCAGGAACCTGTGTATTAAAGGAGATAACGCCATTGTTCACTTTGAGGGACAATCCCTTGCACTCAGAAGCAAAATGCTCTAAATGCTCATTTCAGCTTCCTCTGGATGGTCCAATGAGTGCTCTGCAGTGCTGATCATGGAAGCCGAGGGCCCCTGGGTGACACCAAATGGGGAAACAGCTGGGGACCTGGCTGCCAAAGGGGATAGAGAAGGGGAGAAGCTAGGGGACATGGCTGCTGAGGAGATAGAACCCTCGTGGCTGATAGGAGAACGCCGGAGAGAAGCTAGATGAGGAAAAGTCCGTCCAATGGCTGGCTTTGGGGGAACAGTCTTGGCCCCCGGATGTGCCACAGAAGTTATGAGTGGTGGTGGATCGATTCTAGGCTTGGGATCTGCTTTCGCTTTAGGCTGGAAGGGCCGCCGAGGATTAGGGGGAGCACTTTCATCTTTCAGTCGTGCTATCTCAGTGAAAACACTGGCAAGGGGCTGAAATTGGGGACACCAGTTGAGGAGGTAATCCCAGTTATAGCTACCCCGTAGCTCCTCATCACTGGCCACAATGGCTGTGAGAGAGCCATCTATGGAGGGCTTACCATCTTCGGGGAATGCATAATCCTTTGGATGGGAGATGTTCAGCCCCCTTCCCACCCCCAGATATCCTCCACCTTCATCTCTGTAAACCGGATGCTGGCCAGACAGCAATGTTCCACTGAGACTCCCAATTTTCTTCCCTTTGAACCAGTGTCCAGCCTCCATCCCTGGTTCACACGATATGTCAGAGAGCTGGTCTGCATCCTGCTGGATCCCTGAATCAGGACCCCGTGTGGATAGGTGGTCTTGCATGGAGGAGGAGATACTTGACACCCGAGGGTATTCATTGATCATGCGAATCTCATCATCCTCGGCTGCTTCTGCTTCTGCAGAACCTCGTCCGCTGGAATGGGAGGGGTCAAGCGAACCTCCTCTGGTATAAGAACCTCCACCTGTTCCACCTTGTTCACCAGTGTATCCAGGCAACGTCTGATGGTAAATCCTCTCCCCTCCTGACAGTTTAGCCTCATCAAGCTTCTGCAAGGCAGTTCCTGGGGGTGCAGTCCTGCTACTGGACTCCTCCTGCTTCCTCTTCCTCCTGGATCTCACCATCAACAAGGCCACAGCAATCACAATCAAGATTACAACAGCCCCAAGTGATGCAGCGATGACAATGACCAGCAAGATGTTGACATCTGATGCAAGTCCAAAGGAAGTGTGAGTAACATCAATAGTTATCTGAGCAGTGGTAACCCGTGAAGACTCTAGTGGACTATGAGCTTCTATGTCTAAAGTCATTTGCCTCGCTTCCCTCTTTGAACGGCCTGCTGAACTGTGCCTGCTCTGACTGTCCATCTTCAGATAGACCACCCCTGTGGTTGCATTGATGCCAAAATAAGGAGTGTCACTAGCAAATGAATAGAGTACGATTCCATCCACACCTTCATCTTCATCGCTGGCCTGAACCTGGCCAATACTCTGACCTTTTTTAGCTCCCTCAGGCACCTCAAAAGCAAACTCTGAAGAGGTAAAAACTGGATCATATTCATCTTCTCCTGTAACATACACTTGGACTGTGACTGTTGTTGAGTAGTTGCCAGAGTCCAATGCCAGAGCCACAAATCGAAAGGATTTCACCTTTTCAAAGTCTAATGTTGATCGGGCTCTGATTTCCCCAGAGTTTTGTTCCACTAAAAATGAGTCCTTGCCCTCGCCAGTTTTGTCCACCATGTAGTAGCGCAATTGTCCATAAACCCCAGTGTCAAAATCTACAGCATGAAGAATGGTGACCAGAGAATTTGGGGGCTGGTTCTCCTGAATGCTGGCAATCAGTGTTTCCAGTGGAAAGTAGGGCTTGTTGTCATTAACGTCTTTCACCTCGACAGTGACAGGAGCTAAAGCATAGTGGCCCTGGCCATCTGAAGCCTGGACAATAACCACATGGGATGATTTCATTTCCCGATCTAAGGATTGCTGCAGCCTGAGCGCTCCTGTCCATCTGTCCACAGTAAAAAGCTCCATCTCATCACCTGAGCTGATTGCATACTGGATCTCAGCATTTGGAGCAGAATCAGGGTCTGAGGCAGACAATCGAAGGATCTCAGTGCCTGGCCCCACACCTTCATTGACTGCCACACTGTATTCAGCACGGCCGAAGGCTGGGGGGTTATCATTGGTGTCAGTAATGGTGATCACAGCCGGTACACTGGAGCTCATCTGGGGCACACCTCGATCTGATGCCACAATGGTCAGATTGTACTGCGACACAAACTCGAAATCCAGGCGCTCTACCAGGATGAGGGTGCCCACAGTCTGGAATCCCCTTCCCTCAATGAAGCGGACACTGCTCTCAATCTGGAAGGCATTGCCCGCATTACCACTGGCGATGGCAAAGTCAAAGCCACAGTTTTCTCGAGAGAGGTCTCCATCGACAGCCTCCAGAGTCAGGATGGTCGATCCTGGCATACCATCCTCGGAAACCGTGGCTCTATACTCAGACTGGTGGAAGGTAGGTGCATTGTCATTGACATCGGACACCTGTACTTGAACAGTGGTAATGGATGACAGTGTTGGAGTGCCTCCATCACGTGCCTCAATGACGACGCTGACAGCAAGTCGGTCTGGATCAAATTTAGCCTCCTGGCTGATAAACAGGGTACCTGTAGAAAAATATATAAAATGTTAAAAATACTACTGATTAATCTTACTGTATGTTAGCATGAAGTGCACTGTTACTTTGCCCTTTCAGCATCAGCACAATATACTTCTCTGTGTATCAGAACTGTATTTATAGGTCTTTTTCTCACAAATTTGGTCTTGTTAAGGTGCAATGAATCTTAGAAAAGGGAAAAGAAAATAGTGAGAAAAGAGCAATTTGGAGTTAATGAACTGAGTTATGGATCATAACAAAAACCCATTAGAATGTGCTTATATTAAACGAGATAGGGATTGAGAACTAATTTAAATTTAACTTTGTACAAAAGGGTACCTTTCTACAGTTCCTAGAAATTATGGTAATAAAAGCCACTATTGATATTTCACTTTAACATGCTAACAGCTATGAAGCGGAACTGAGGAATTTTGCCTTTGAATTATAATAAGCATACAGTTTTTAAAAGTAAGTATATTAGCAAATCCAGAAAGAATATTAAAACTAGACCCTGTAGGGCAGACATATGGGGTTCATCATATTCCCATTTCCAACCAATCTGACTGTATAGCACTGCCCTATGGTTGTACTTTAATGATGAATAAAAGTAGAACTCCCTATGTAGAAATGGTACAGAACTTCTCTGTCAGAGGGCAAAGATTATTAACCTCAAGGGAATGTTGAAGATACTCACGCTTATTGCCAACATCAAAAATACATTAAAATAAAAAAACAAACAAATATGTGTATGTTTCAAAAGCAAGAAAATCTATTTATTCTGGAGTGCAGTTCCTTTCCAATATTGCTGACATACAACATACTCCTTTAACTATGTCAGTGATTACCTAAGTAGTTCCCAAATGTTAAAAAGGTTGAATCACTGCACCTGTCTAAAAGCCTTTGAACTGCTGATGGGACATTGGATGGATCAATCAAAGTGCAACATTCTAACACCTTATATTCTCTGTTTAAGAGTAAAACTGAACCCAATTCATTCTTCATCCCCCCAAAATTAATCAAAGCACCACTTATGCAAAACATTCTAGAGCCAACAGAGTGAATTCCTCAGCAAGAATGTTGCCAAAGATATGTTAGAATTCAGGGAGCTTGTGCTGTACATCTGCACTAAATACATATGCACATGCAGTACCTTAATACAGACACTTTCCAACACTGGATTTCAAATAAAGTAAACCAAACCTGTCAGCACTTACAGATCTAAGAGCTTTCTTCAGAGTTAATGGGAGCTCTCTCTAGAATGTCACGTCAAGGGAATACTCCACAGAATCAGGAAGTGGACAAAATAAAGCCTGACCCTGCTCAATAATGACTTAGTGGCAACATACAAGTCACTGTGCTTTAAAAAAAACTGAGCAAAGTTTGAAGTCGGAAACAACTATTTAAAGCCATTGGAGTAAAGGGGACATTGGGAAAAAAAGTATAAAAAAATGAATTGAGAGAGAAAAACGTAAATGTTATTTTTAGATCAGAGCTGCTACTGTCTGTTGCAGATGGTTTCATCTCAAAATGTAAAAGCTTTAAAAACTACACATATTTGAGCTCTTGTTTTTATTTGATACCTTTACATAACTTTATAAAGACAATGAGGCACTTCACAACATAATAAAGCACAAGAGGGCATGGATTATTGTAGATATTGCCACTCCTTAAGAGTGTTACTAACCTGCACCCAACAAAGAAGTGTAAAATCTCAGAATAACACGTGCACTTTTTTGCCATATTGCACTACTATTATTTAGTTTAATTTTTCTGAATATACTGCTTGTTCCTAAACACAAAAAATATGATTTCACTTGCAAAAGAGGGTTGTCATAGGACTCTGATATTAGAAATGGTGATTTCAATTTTACTGTAGACAACAAATCTCCTGATGATGGCTTTTCTATGTATCCTACTGTACATGGAGACTAAATAGAAAAAAAATCTTAAAATATTAACAAAACACTTCCTTACCATTGCTTGGGTCTATGTAAAAGCCATCTCTACTTGATGACATCACCCTATAGGTGACCTTCCCATTCTTTCCAGAATCCCTGTCTGTTGCGGTTACTGTGACAACAGGACTGCCTGGTGGTGAATGCTCTGGCAGAGTTACCTAGGAAACCAAAACCATAGCATCAGGGCAATATCATAATAATTCACTTTAATTGGGACTTTTGAGATGACATGCATGATGAGATGCAAAAATGTACGAGGAAAAGCAGGAAGAAAGACAGAGCACCAGTTAGGTGCTTCAGGCTAAGGATCCGGAGAGGTGTGAGATCAAATCTCAGGTGGAACAGAATTGTTGTAACCTTGAGCAAGATACTTCACTCGGATTGTGCAGGTAAATTTCCTGCTGTACAAAGGGACTCTAGATGAACACTGTAAATGCAAATGTGTGCTTTCTTACAAAATCACATAAAACTATGTTGATGTTCTTTAAATCTGGAAAGAGCCATAGTAATTTACCAGAAAAGAAATTACAAAAACAAATGTAATGTGTTGAAAAATTATGAAAAATGACAACATCTGCTGAATTCAAAACCCAGTTGCATTCCTTTGCAACCTGTTAAGAAAACAAAGTTGAAAACTGTTAAAATATTTAACACATGGCTCATATTGTATGAATGCCTTTTTACCATTAAAAAATCTAACGTTTGCCTTCAAAATGTCTAGGCATACTGTCAATGACATTGTAATGTGTTTGCTTTTCTCTTCTGTCCGACAGATGAATACAAAAGAAATCTTTATTTTCCACAGTTAATATATTTTGAAAAAAATCAAACTAGGATTTTGAAATGGACTTAAAATTAATTAATGAAATTCAGTAAAACTAAACTCCGGTTCTAATAACTTTCTGCCTCTGTGGTGCATTCAGCTGTATGCTATAACAATAAAGCTATACTGAGTCTGATTTAAGAAGTGTACGCTAGAAAAATTATCTTATTTTTAATTAGGGTAAGTCTTTGGAGCTTTAACTATAGAATAAAAACATCTCAACGATGTGAATTATAGATTAAAAAGCAGGTGGGCTGGTCAGAGATGAACAGAAAAAATGTATTATCTTATTTCTAAATGAATGGAGTGAGTACCTGGTACAGGTCCTGGGTGAACACTGGGGCATTGTCATTAACATCCTCTACCAGCACAGTCAGGTTGGCCTCACTCTCGTGCTTGGAATCCGAGGAGCGAACTGTGAGTGTGTACCAGGTCCTCTCCTCGTAGTCCAGAGGGGCAGTGAGGGAGATCCCACCCCCATATCGGTGGATCCCAAACTTTCCCAGGGACTTGCTGTCCAGTTGGAGCATATAGGAGAGGGCGGGGCCTGAGTCTACATCATTTCCTGTCACCTGGGTGATTTCTGTTCCTATCAGTGTGTCTGGAAAGACAGCAAGAAGAAACAAAACATGAGCTCATGAAATCAAGACAAGTATTGTAAAATAAAGTCAGCATCCTCAACAAACCCTCATGCACTATCAATTATTTTTTCCAGCTTTCTCTGTCCTTCAAAATTTGGCAATAGGTTATGTTAAATATAACAAATATAAATTAGAATGGATAATTTCACTTAGGAAGAAAATAGAAAATAACACAGTGAGCCAAGAGGAAATTTAAAGCACAAGTATTTAGAAATGCTTTCCAATATTATCCCCGGAGACAAAGGCATTATAATCTGGATGTGAATCAGATTTTACTTACTCTCAGGCACTCGGACTTCGCGAGGCAGGGGGATTGTGGGACTGTTGTCATTCAGATCCACAATGACCACAGTAAGAGTTGCAGTCCCCGCGAGCCTGGGGCTTCCTCTGTCTGTTGCCGCGACAACAAGCCTAATGCAACAAAACAAGTTTCGAGACTGTTTTGTCCACACTGAGTTTCCTTTCATGAGTTATTTACAATTTTTAGAAACTTCTTTTCTGTTATTAAATTAGATTTGCAAACATTTGAAGTTCTATGTTGTGGCTGCATTTGAAAAAAAAAATGAACAGCAATGTAACTTTATTTTACTTCAGGGAGAAACATTCTTTAAATAATGCCATTAAGAGACTTGTGAACAGTTTCCCATGTTTGTAAGATATGAACTAAATTCCAACCTATCCCCGTGCCTGCATGTGACATAAACCTTTCTTTTGTTTGTATGACATTGTCTATAGAGGTATTTTCCAATTCCCTTGTTATTCCAGACTTATAATACTTCTGAAAGGCTGCTCAGCTGGTTTGCTTACCTGACATTTCCTTTCCTGCACACAAGCATATTCACATGCTCCACTCATCTTTCAACATAATATTTAATTTTTCAGAGGTTTTCTATCAATTTGTGGTGATACATGTGGTGACTTGTATAGCTAGTACTAATAAAATTTATCACTTTGTGTCTTTTAAGTTAACTTTACATTTTTATAAATATATTTATATAAAATTTATAACCTGGTACCACACAATCAGCTAAGGTAATGCAAAAAATTGCTTGTGTTGAGGGACAGCTCTTTTGAAAGTTTTCTAAAGGCATTGAGTTCATTAAAGAAACCCAAGCAATCTCTATGCACTAATGAACTTAGTTCATTAGAAAGCTGCACTCCTTTTTACAGACATTCAGAAAAACGTGGGACAGTATTGTGAAGTTTACTGGGTACTTCTAAACATCAAGTAGAGCATTGGTGTGAAAGCTACAGTACTGTATATACAGTATACAAACCACAAAGGGTACTGTCAAGTTAGAAATGGTGTTATAGAAATGGCTGTCAGGGTGTATAACACTGCCCTAGGCGAGGACTGTTAGCCCTTCATCTGCTCATCTATGGACAGCATATTGCACTATTGTACTCTTTGGACACTCAATCTGTACATACCTATGCATATTTTGCACATATTTTATTGCTTTACAGTGGTTACGTGTGCAAAATATATGAGCATATTTTGCACACACCTAACTATATTTATTTTAGATTTATTTTGTATTGCTGTACTTATTTTAATTTTTCTTCTATTCTGATGTCTGTTTTTGCTTGTCTCCGACTGGGCTGCTGTAACACCTCAATTTCCCTTCGGGATCAATAAAGTCTTATCTATCTATAGGGTACAAGAACAAGAACAAAAAATTGGTGCTCACTTTGTTTGAGTCCAGATCTCCCGGTCCATGATGGCTGCTGTGGTGATGCTGCCGGTTAAGGGGTCAATTTTAAAAAGGCCACTCATAGAGGATGACTGGATGGAGTAGGTCACTTGGCCATTCTGACCCTGGTCTGGATCATCAGCCAATACCTGAAAGAAAAAATGAATTACTACTAACAAAAAAAAAGAATTCTGTTGCAGAGATTTCTGTTGCTTCTCTATATAAAACCCTTTTTTATTCATGAGCTTTGGTATGATACAAAAAGCTACAGTACATTAAGGTGCAATAAACACATAGTACAGTATCGCTTCTAAAATTAGCAACCCTAACTGCTAAAGGCAGGTGGTTCACTTATCCCCCCAAACAACAGGTTTTACTATAGATCCAGTTAGCTACAGGGTTCCAGGTTAGTACATTTGTTTCTTGCTCAGACAGTATTTTTTCTCTCTGTTCTCTTGCCTCTGCCATGCATGCTTATTGTTGCCTCTCCATGCTAACAATTTATCTAGAGCTGATTGAAGTGAAGCAGTGCATTAAATAGGCTCAACAGCCATTTAATTGAACTAAGTTGACTGTTTTCAAATTCAAATTTACAGAAAATATCCTGAGGAAAGAAAGTCATGTGTTCCTTATTAGTGTTTATCTTCCAATCAAAAAATAAGAACAATAAGAACAATGGATACAAATAAAGCACCGCCTAACCCTAATAATGCTAAACATCATGTAAAAAGCGCTATTAAGTTAAGAAGACCATATTGGAAAATGGTGTTGAACAGGAAGTAGCCAAAAGAAAAATTACATTGTGGTAGTGGACAAAAAAATGGAAACACTTGGGTAAATGAGGGACACCAAGTATATTGAAAGCAAAAAGTATATTGAAAGTGTAGCTCATGTGTTAATTAAGCAAATCATGTATAAGAATTCATGTACAGTCCGATGGCTTCCAATTATTAAATCTGAACGAGAGGAGATTGTTGCATTTTGTAGGAACTTATGTGTCCAAGATCGCTTCACTTGGTGATGTTTCATCAGCAAGAGTGTAAGCTGATGTCAGCATGCTCCAGATCTCATACGGCAGAATCGGGACATTTTTGCATTAATTCAAAGTGCAAGGCAAAACAGGCAAGCAACTGCAGATCAAATGATTGCAAATTTCAACCAGGGTTGAGAGCAGACAGTTTCACCAAAAACAATCTACAAAAAAAATTACATAGTAGCATATCATAGTCAGGCTGCAGTCCCCAAATAACTTATCACTCCTGGCAATGCGTATTTGTGAGTCCAATGGTGCAACGAGCACAGGCAATGGACTACCAAGCAGCAGTGAAATGTGACAGAGTCATAAGAATCACCCATTTACCATGTTGTCTCGAAAGGGACATGTAGTGCCAATCTAAACAACTCTATAGCCCTAAGTGCTTGGTTCCAACAATGAAGAGTGCTTCCTTAATGTTGTGGGGCACATTTTTTCCAGCATGGTTTGGAAGTACTTACTCCCTTAAGAAGGCAAGGTCAATGCTTATCACTACTTAACTTCACCCCATACTGTAGCATTTAATTGCAGCCAGGAGGGTGTCCTATAATAATAATAATAATAATAATAATAATTGCTTACACTTATATAGCGCTTTTCTGGACACTCTACTCAAAGCGCTTTACAGGTAATGGGGACTCCCCTCCACCACCACCAATGTGCAGCATCCACCTGGATGATGCGATAGCAGCCATAGTGCACCAGAACGCTCACCACACATCAGCTATCAGTGGAGAGGAGAGCAGAGTAATGTAGCCAATTCATAGAGGGGGATTATTAGGAGGCCATGATTGGTAAGGGCCAATTGGAAATTTGGCCAGGACACCGGGGTTACACCCCTACTCTTTTCGAGAAGCGCCCTGGGATTTTTAATGACCTCGGTTTTACGTCTCATCCGAAGGACGGCACCTGTTTACAGTATAGTGCCCCCATCACTATACTGGGGCATTAGGACCCACATGGACCGCAGGGCGAGCACCCCCTGCTGGCCCCACTAACACCTCTTCCAGCAGCAACCTTAGTTTTTCCCAGGAGGTCTCCCATCCAGGTACTGACCAGGCTCACACCTGCTTAGCTTCAGTGGGTTGCCAGTTGTGAGTTGCAGGGTGATATGGCTGCTATAGGATGCTCCCATCCACATGTCTGAGCATGTGTGGTTGCCCAATGATTTGATGATATTGACACTGTTATTAACCATCTTTCATAGCCTTCTCAGCAACCAGATCTGAACCCAGTGAAGCTTTTATGGAATTTTCCGGAACAATCACCTCAACCAGCTTCCTGCAGAACTGTAGATGCTGGTAGACTCATACTGGCTGCATGTTGCGGCCCAACACAGAATTGAATAACTTTAAATTTGTGTTTCCATTTTTTGTTCCACTACCTGTTTGTTTTTCGGACGTGAATATGCGAAGGAAAGGAACAAACAGTAAAAAGAAATTATTTTCTTGGAATCTTTACCTGAATAATGGGAAAGTCATAGCCTTGCGCCTCACGTAAGTAAGCAATGTAGTTCTGCAACTGGAATCGCGGCAGGTTATCGTTCACATCTTGGAGTATCAAATTGACGGCCATGAAGGAACTGGAAGATGGAGTCTCGGCCTTCACCACTAAGCGAAGCCTGGGAGTCTCCTCAAAGTCTAGACCAGTGGAACTCTGTACCCAGATCTCACCTGTAGACACAATTCACCAATACATGAACATAAAAACTTCAAAGTTCACAACAATGCAGTTTTAAGGCTGTTTCATTGTTTTTGTCATTTGTTACAAATGTTCTAGGCCTTTTAGGTCATAAACTAGGAAAATCTGAACACATCAGTGTCAGATTGTAATGCAAAACACTAGCATTTAAATTTCAAGTGGTAAATCCCAATACCACCATGAAGCCAGGTCTTTTCAAATCTCTAAGTAAGATTGAAGCTGATCACTGCTTGGGAAGGCGGGGCTCTAAAAACACTTTAAGTGTTTTTGGTAGACTGGTAGTTAACACAGTTCTTCCTGACCCCAAACTTCAAATAAAATCCAGTTGTAAGTTAGCAATAGAATCCAGAATTCTATGAATTGCTGTTTTTTTATAAATAACATTTTTTACCAATGTCTTAACCAGCTGTGGCATTCACAAAACCATTGGCATAAATTCATTTAAGTAATCATTTTTCACTTTGCCTTCTAATCTGCCAAGTACTGATTACAGTTCTGATTAACTGTTATAAAAAAAGACTAAAGTAATTTTGATGGCAGATGAAGTGTCTCCGCACCTACAGTATGTGTAAAATAACTTGGAATGCTCCAAGGTGGAAAGCACTCCAAAAATACAGATTATTATTGTTTGTAATTAAGGGAAAGATGGTTATGAACTTGAACTTATTTTAGTCTCAATTACTTAACTGAATGCACCACTGAAAAAATTACATAATTAAGGAATATTTTGATTTCAGCGTGGAACAATCTGCCATTCATCTTGTTGACAGTGTCTGACCTGTGCTGGCACTGATGCGGAACGACTCCAGTCTGTTTCCGCTGAAGATGCTGTAGGTGATGCCACGGTTAGAGCCATCGGGATGCTGTGCCTGGATCTGTACGACAGCTGTACCTGGGAGGGGAAAACAGAAGAAAATCGGGTCACTACAGGCTTTTCAACTGAGTCTTCTCTTCCAGCAGTATCCCTGCAAGCACTGTGGGCTGGAGCTTATTAACAAATTGCAAATGGCTGTTTTTACTTAAAGAGCAATTTTTTTCTTGTTTGTCTGTTTTGCTCATGAAAACACTTCAAAGCAACGGTTAGATAAATCCTAAACAGGGTGGAAGTGTTAGCAAAATATCACGAGTTCCATCACAAAAATAAACTATGACGGTGAACCTGATTTCAATAAAAACATGTGTTCCTGTTTCCTTTACCTAAAAACAAACTTTTTTTCTCTCATGTCCCAAACTTGGGATTGCAAAATTTTACTCTCCTCATCTCATCATTTTCCACTGACTGTATCCATTCCTACTGGACTCCAACTGGCAACAGGGGGCACTGTTGTATGAAAACAGTGCTCCTCTGACACACAATGCAGAGCTAGTGTAAGTAACAGTTCTGAACTGTTATTACAAACTCCTACCAGAATCAGTGCTTGTTAGTTTTGAGGAGTCCGTTCACATGAGATAAAATTTTAACTCTGAGATATTGCCTAACCCTGATTCTGCAACAGAATCCACACTGTACCCCCACTTTCCAAACTCATGTCCAAAGCCTAAAATGTATTTTGTGGCTTTTGGAGGCAGAGTGAGTGTTAAAAGTTTTTGGGAGAAATTGGTTCAGTCATAAGGCAAAAATCATATACACATGAAATTTTCTTAACAGCAAAATGAAGAAATCAAAATATTGAGTTTGTTTCTATTTCAACACTGTCAAATAGAAAATAACTTTTAGAACCTGGAGATGATTAAATGAAGGTTTTCGGTTTTAGTGGAAGAGTGTGAATTGTTTTATAGAATATTCACCTTGAGGTGAACATTAAATGGTTTTATCTTACAGCACCATCTTTCCATGGTGGCTCTAGGTAATATATTCACAACGTGAATTGTTAGTTTATGTTATATTTACTTTCTGGACCTAACAAGCCAAATGAGAAATTTCTGTATCAATTTAAAATGTGTAACGCTATTCCAACCCTGATAAAAAATACAAATTTACTCATGTGAGTTTAAAGCAGTTATTGAAGGTTTTTACTAACCTAAGGCTGCGTTTTCCGGGAGGCTCACATCTCGCGTGTTGCGTGAGAAACGAATGCCCTTGTAGTCCTCCTCTTTGACGTAAATCACCACCACACCAATGGAGGACCGTGCAGGGGTCCCCTGGTCCATCGCCTCTATAAGCAGTGTTCTCTGTTTTTGACTCAGAGTGAGCAACTTCTCAGTTACCTGGATATCCCCCGTTAGAGAATTAATGGTAAACCCACGAGCTGGGGTGGCAAACCGATAAAAAATGGACCCATTGGCCCCAAAATCTTTATCCTCTGCTCTCATGGTAGCCACTACCTGGTGATTGGAGACACTGTTGCTGGAGATGTTGATGATAAGTGGGTCCTGAATGAAAAAGGGGGCATTATCGTTAACGTCTTGTATGGTGACGGTAACTTCTGCTGTGGTATTCCTGGGAGCAGATGGAGAAGAGTCCACAGCACACACCAAAAATTTGTAAGCAGCTCGCTTTTCTCTGTCCAGGGGACCTGTTGTAGTAATTCTACCTGTGTTTTGGTCCACGTCAAACATGCCACGGGCCTCACTACTCAAGAAGTAGAGTACTTTCCCATTGGATCCTTCATCCTCATCGGTAGCAGTCACTTCAAGCACTAGCCTGCCAACAGATGCATTTTCAGAAATATCTATATTGTAAACGGACTGTCCAAATCTGGGGCTGTTGTCATTGACATCCAGAACCATCACTTCCACTTTGGCTGTACTGCTGAGCTTATGTTTTCCGTGATCCTGAGCTACAATGGTCAAAGAATAGCTTGCTCTCCTTTCCCTGTCAAGGGGCTTTGAAGTGGAGAGCACTCCAGAGCTGCTGTCCAGATGAAAATCACTGGTGGGATCTCCATCTTAAAGAAGACAACAACAGAAAGTGATAAAGACATGGGGTGGGCTTAATGGAGGAACATAACTTATCACATTAATATTCACTTTCAAATATATGAAATACCTGAAACCACAAAATGCTGAATGCCATTGTTTTAATCTATACAAATATCAATCATAATATCATTATAGCAATTATGATACAAAAGCTACACATTCAGGAAATGTTTCATAAAAACATTTGGTGAAATACGTTTTCCTCAACATTTTGGCTATTTTTTTGTTTGCAAAAAATCACCAAAATCTAGCATAACCTGGCGCATGCTCCGCCAGGCCTTAATGCTTAAACAGGAATCTTACCAATGATCTTGTACTCCACTTCTCCATTGTCCCCAGTATCAAGGTCTGTGGCCTTTAATGTGAAGAGCTCCACGGGCTGCAGGTTCTCAGGCACCTCCAGGTTGTACATATCCTTCCCAAAGGCTGGAGTGTTGTCATTCTCATCCAGGATGCTGATCCTGATGGTCGCCTTGGCAAAATTTGGAGGCATGCCACCATCTTTTGCGTAGACTGTAAAGAAAACAATAACAACAGTTCCAGACAGGCCTCAACACTAAAGCATCTACAGAAAGGTGCACAATTAAATGTTTCATTGTCTGGAAAGGCTTAATGATTTAAAAAAAATATTTTCAGTTCCAATGGCTCACTGACATTGTCCTGGCACTATTACCTGTGACAGTGTAGCGTTCCTGTGTCTCGCGATCCAGGGCTTTTGTGGATGAAATGACCCCAGTTATCGGGTCAACAGTGAACGCCTCCTCTGCAATACCCCCATAAGTCACCAAGCCATTTGTCCCTGGAGCAGCAGTGAAAATGACAAGTTAGAACAGAAAAAAGAACAATTATCCTTTTTTCCATAATCATAAAGTCCTTACAGGCAATTATTGTATTCTACTAACTATTCTACATAAGAATACTACTTTCTCTCACCTAGTAAAAAGGTAAAGTCAGAGCTCACCCTCGTTTCAGCAGGTTTAATCAGACTAGAAAGCACGTGACTCTCCTCACTGGATACCACCAGTAAAGCTGGTCCCCACTTACTGTATACAGTGGGGTGGACAGGAGAAGCCAGGGTAAAGTATGTAAATCATTCAAGAGTACCACAGCAGTGTCTGCAATAGGGACTTGAATCTACAAATACAGCAGCTTACCCACAACACTATGCTGCCACTCTTGCTAAATGATTGCAGTCAATTCTCTATTGCATTGTACTGTATTTCTATTAGCAGTCTGATATCACTGTAGCCGTTCAATAGGAACCTTGAGGACAATACCACTGATGGAAGATGAGGGGGGCATAATGTTTTCAATAAATTTTAAATAAATAAAAAACTGCTCTATTAAAAGAGCAGAAAAAAAGGAATCCTTATCTACGTTTACCAAGAAGTTGAATTAACGCTTCACTGGATAATAACCACATGTTTGACAACCAGGCATTGTCTTGTTCAGAAACACTGGAAAAAATCCTGGACCAAATAAGCAAAGTCACGTTATAATTATTAGTATCAGCTTCTCTTACTAGCATGTTCGACACAACAGTTCTTTCTGTTGCTTTCTCAGCAGTAAACTGTTGTAGTATGAGTTGTAATCTTTGGAAGTCAGATCGCGTGCTAGTGCAGAATTATTTGGCAAGGTCACCTGTTTACTTCACTAATTGGTCCTGGAGTGAAAGTTTATAATCCCTCTGTTTTATATGCTTCTGACTCAAGACAGGAGGAATGTACCCCACTCTGCATCCCGGACAATTAAAAACAACTGTTGCTAATCATGACAAGCCTGTGAAAAAAAAAACTGGATAACTTTCTTTCTAAACATAGTCTACAGGTGAAATCTTTGGAAGAACCATCATTTACTGAGAGGTGTGAAATCTTCCTCTGTCAGACTTCTGACTTTCTGAATATCCTGGGATGCTACAACAGCAGGTTGACTGCTCTTTAATCAAAGTCATCATAGATATATTTATCCCTCAAGTGTAAAGCCATACATTTTCTAGAAACAGAGTACCACTGATGGTGAAGTATGTGGATAAATCCGTAGAATTTCATTGAATCCACCTAATACGAAATTACTGCCAAGTTACTAATGTGCTTCTGATAAGAGTACATCACCCATTATACTTATTAAAGTTCATAAATGTATTATTGTTTAATTTGATATGTCTACAAATTGCATTTTTGATGAAAAGGTTCATGGATTTTAGATACTAAGAGGCTTGCTAACGAAAGGTTGCAACGTGATAAGAACGAAAGCCACAGACTGGGGCATACAATAAACAGCTGTACTCATAAATGACGAAAAGAAGCATCTGAGGGCCTCACATGTGCATGCACGCACATTTAAAAACCTGATGTGTAGTTTTCCATATGGAAAATGTATTCTAAAGGATGTAAATGAAGTGGAAGGCCATGTGTCATGATGGTAAAGATATGCACACAGTACACACAAAAGCTCTTCTAACTATGAAGTACTGTAGTCCTAACTCATGAGCACACTTGCAATTGATGAAAAGCAAGTGTAATGTGTACCTTGAGATCTTTAAGATGTTACCATGCACAATTAGCAGTTAATCTGAGCACAGAGGCACTCCTTATCATTGGATATCAAGGGAAAGGGGAAGAAGAAAACTCTAGAGACTAAATGACAGCAATACATAGAATATGACTTATAAAATAATGTTAAATATTTTAAACTATTCTACACTATACTTCTATTGCTACACCTCCTGACATTCTTCCCGACAGTCTCATTCTCTGCACTCTCTTATGTAGATATTGATATTTAAGTACAGTGCTACACACTACTTCAGGTGCACCTTCTGATATGGAACATCTTCTCGCATGATCTGTGTTCAAATTACATACTGTACACATGCTATTTAAGCATGAGATAATGATAAGCTAATGATTTCCAAGGTACAGTACATGCTACCAAAGATGTATGCACCTTTGTGAATACAAATTCACTTATGGTTTGTACAGTTCTCTAATGGTAAATACTATTTTCACAAGCTCACTAATTAGTCCTGTTTTGAATCAATGTGAAGGATTCCTCTGCACATCTTCTTTCCAAACTAAACTCAAGGGATAAAAGTTTAGGAACTGTCAGTCAAATAACCTGATTTACAGTACATCACCATCATTGGCTACAATAATCCCTAATCCCCAAATTATTGTTCAATTTTTAACCTATACAAATGTTGGAACATTTCAATTCAATCCCAGATATTCTACTCCCTACTTCAATCTCAGATGTAGACGCTCTTGCCAGGAAAAAGGGACAGGATAAGGTTTCAAATATTTATAAACCTTGTAGAATACATGCCACCTCTTCTGCAATCCGTGTTGTGCTACAACTGTGTTTGCCCTCCATCACATCCATTCAGTCTGCATTTACCTTGGTCACGATCGACAGCTGACACAGTTAGTATGGAAGTTCCAGCTCGTTGATTCTCGGAAATCTGGGCCTCAAATTCAGTTTTTGAGAACCACGGTGCCTCGTCGTTCACATCGATCACCTGCACTGACAGTAACTGTGTAGTTGAGTGCTGGGGGGTCCCATGATCCTCTGCGACAATCGTCAAATTGTAGAGTGCTTGCTCCTCACGGTCAAGAGCCTTGAGAATAGAGAGGGAGCCTGAAACAGACAGAACCATGAGGGACAGGAGAAGAAGAGTGTTAGAAAAGGAGCATTTAAGCCTTTCTTAAAGTGCTAGACAACACAGTCAAGTGTAATAACAAAACACAACTCATTCTAACATTCACCTTTTTCAAGAATTCTGGGTTTCCACAAAACCAAAGAACATCTTTCACAATTCCAGCAGTATACAGCAGCTGATCAACATATCTTATACTTTCAGTCACGTAAAACTGGCAGTCAGTTTATATGGTAAAGCTAAGAAAACCACAAGTTAGTTTTTCAACTGAGGTTTAAACCTACATTTTGGATGGCATTAAAATGGGCAATGTTTCAAGTTCTTTTGCTTTAATTAACAATAAAAGAAACAGCTGAAAAAATGACTTTGTGGTTCTTTAATTGAAGTGATCATGGCCCCCCACACTGTGCAGATGCTCAAAAACAAACATATTTAGGTTTAGAAACATACTTCGTTTTCAGGCTTTGAAGATGAGCTCAGAAGCAATTGAAACACCTTTCATGATTTGAATTCTCCTAATTCCTAAAACTTTTGAAAAAAAAGGACTTGCAGGGGTATAAACGGAGTGGTAAAGCAAATGCTGTGTAAAAATAATTTATTTACATGAAGCCTGCCTACCTGAGAGCTACCACCCCAGCCGTAAAACAGAACCATTTGGCTTTAATGAGTTTTCCACTGTGAAGGCCACAATAATGAGAGAGAAACAGTAAACACACACTGAAACACGCAACTCTAATGCCTGCCATGCCCCTTTATATTTAAAATCCTTTCTCTTTATTAATGTGAATAGGGACGGGTATGCTCACATTGATTCAATTTCAATTTTGTGGTTTAAATTTGGCCACCAGAGCTATGCGAAAAACAAACTTCCGTGTGTGGAGTAAGAGCTAGGGTGCTGTTTTACAAGCTCTTTTTTTTCAACCAAGATAGCATGCCATTTATTCCAGTCTGTTTAGGATTAATTTGAGCCAATGACGAGAACTGTTCAACAAGGTCTTTGTGAAGCAGACCTATGATAAAATATGATAGAAAAAACAATAACTTTTGAGCTGCTTTCTTGCTATGACTGTAGCACAAAGCATCTGACTCTCCTTGCTGTTCCCACAGCATGTTGTTCTGTAAATGTAAAACAGTATATGACGTAGTGAAAATTACATCAAAAACTGCACACAAATCAAAAACTGCACTGTACATTTTACACATGGAAACCTCAATTCTACAAGGTGTTATAATGACTGTGAGCTGGAGCTTTTATGGCCTATGGAATGCACTACTTTGTCTGGTGGACAGCAGAGATGTTAATGCTGTGTGATGTATTCTATCCACGTCTGTGGGAGAAGGCACCCCTATGGGTTGTGTAAGACCTGAAAATTCACTAAATATAATTGTTTAATGCATTTTGAATAATATTTAATTATGAATATATTGTAATATACTGTGTATTACATTACAAATATCAGATATTTATGACACATATCAGATTAATTAAATCTGTGTTGTTCCCTTAGATGCTGGTATAAAATAATGCTTTTATTAATAAAATAAAGAATACTTTGAAACTCATACATCTGACATGGTTGACCTATGTGACAATATTACATGTAGAACCTGCAGGATTGAAACTTATTTAATCATAATAGGTAATTAGAGTTTTTGCTGAAACAATCTGGAAAACAGTCACAATTTCATTCAGTAACACAGTTCAAATGTAGTTTGAAAAGCATTAACCAAAATGCATTCACTCTCATCTAGTAACTGCCAGATTTTAACAAGTGTGTATCCACATTAAAACGCTACGTTTTGCCATCAAACGTTTTAAGGGAGGATTTTAAAATAATGAGTTAAAGTTTTAAAGGGAAAGAATAAACAAACAAACCATCATTAATTGTGAGCTATACAGGTATATTTACAATACATCCTTCCTCAGGGAATGAAAAAAAGCACTTCATTTCGGCCATTATTAGTGTAACTATGGTTAGGGAAAAAAATCTAATTTTTAATTTTTACAAATGGCCAGCTGTGCTCAAACAAGTTCAAGAGGAATATCTTCTGTAGTCTCCGCACTGTATAACACTTATGAAATATATTGGCTGTTTCTACTCCTCTATCAGCCAGGGGGAGTTTCAGAGTGATCTAAAGCTGACACGTGTCTGAGACACCACAACAAAGTACAGGTGAACTAACGACCTTCTGTTCTGTTGACAGAGGGTTTTTAGACATTTCATTGTTGAAAAACTACAGTCTGTGCTTGCAGATTTTAAACAATTTCTGACATCAGCAATGCAGGAACATACATCATCCTTGAATTATGTTCTATTGGAATACTTACACAGGCTAGCAAGCAAGCACTGTGTGTGAATAATACTGCTGGCAGAAAACACATTGTTTAGCTCATAGCTGTTGGAGATGAGCACTGAAAGGTAGGTCAAGCTCTGTAGAGCAGGGAATGTAGGAAAAAATTAGATTTACTTGGGCCTGCTTACTCCTCTGATAAGAGAAATAAAAACAAAAATGTAATGATTCACACCGGACTGTGAAGTTTTAACTGATTTCTGTTCTTGTATAGCACAGCTACACGTCACAAACGCCATCTTTTAAATTGTCACTGGCATTACAAAACTGGACACAACTTACCTGTGTTAGGGTTGAGACTGAATCTTCCTCCAGCGTTGCCTGCCTGGATCCGATATGATACCCGGCCATTCTCTCCTTGATCAGCATCCTGCGCCATGACGTACAGCACGACAAAGCCTACGGGCTGGTCCTCCATGACACTGACTGCTGTGGGGGAGCTGAAGACAGGGGCGTTGTCGTTCTCATCTGTCACAAAGATCCTGGCTGTCACCGAACCCCAATGGCGCTGACTTGCATTGAGGGCGCAGTCTGTGGCTTTTACGACCAGAAACAGGGAAGAGGTTGTTTCACAATCCAGAATCTGCCCCAGGGACAGGACCCCAGTTGATGGGTCAAGAGACAAGAGGTCACTGTTGTCAGGCCACTGGTGGAGGATGGTGTAACGGATCTCACTATTTGGTCCACTGCCATCTTTGTCGATAGCTTGAAAAGCGTAGATGGAAGAACCGGGTTCCATATTTTCAGGAATGACAATGGTAACTGGATCCTCTGGAAACTGGGGTGCATGGTCATTGCTGTCCTGAACATCTATGTCCAATGTGATGATGCGGCTGGTGGGATAAGCTTTGGAGAAGTCATCTACCTCGATCTGAAGGGTATAGCGTGTTCCCTGTTCATAGTCCAGCTCTCTTGCTAAGTAGACGTCGCCGGTCAATCTGTCCACCATGAAGGTGCCCTCTTGATCAGTGCCCCCCACTACCGTGTAGGTCACCTGACCTTCTTCGTGCATGACCTGCTGGTCATGTGACCTGACCGAGCCAACCACTGAGCCTGGTTTGGCACCTTCTATAGATTTTAGGGTCACAGCATGGGTGTTGGGTTTAGGAACCATCTTACTGGAGCTAAGGACCTTCAAAAAGATAGAGCAAGAAGACATTAAGTCATCTCATAGTTGAAATACGTATTGTCCCTTTTCAATTTTTTGGTTTCAGTTTTGATTTCTTGTGAATGCCTTCCAGATCAGAAAACAAAATAGATGTTAACTGCAACTTGTTGAACTTTATAAACATACACATATATTATTCATATCATATATAAGCCCTAATTGTTTACACAAAAATTAAGATAGTAATTGAATTATGTATGTAATCTCAGATCAAAATATTTATTTGAAATATGAAATAATTTTACAAGATGCCAAGATACTATGGTGATTATGCTGTTTCATCAGTGGTCACTGAGTTAAGCGTAATTATTATTTATAATAATTAGTTTAGGTATAATACTTGTGACTATTGTACACTACTAACATAAATATCAGTTTCAACTGAATGGTTATCTAGGTTTCTCCTTTTAAATGTTAATAACTTAACCCAATATTATCCCAAAACATGAAGAGATGTACTCAATTATGACACTGCAGTATTGCACTGTTAGTAAAATTGGTTCTGGGATCAGCGATCAGCAATATTTGCCCTGTAATGATGGTTTATGAAGCAAATCACTTAGTGGCTTCGATGGGAACCAAATTCAGCACATTTTATGTTTTTATTTTAATTCTTAACAGCTGATGGCTGAGGAGAAGGGTTAAACTTTTCTGGTTAAACCTTCATTTTATTAATTTAACACTTCTTCCAGGTAAAAGAATGCTTACAACTAAAGAACAAACATACAGAAAACCGGAATTATGGAGTCTGAGGACTAGAAATGGGAATGCCTGGCTTTTGTTAAGTTCAGTGTCATGTTAGATGATTAAAAATGAACCACAAAAATGAAGAACCCTAATTGCATTATGTGTTCAAAATTTAGATCAATCAAAATCAAGGGGTATATAAATTATTTTCTAACTATGCATAGCATGAATAAACTTTTAGAATTAAATAGTTATGACAGTTAAGAAAGTACATTGAAATGCAGAAAATAAAGACAGATTGATTGTAATCCCCACTTTGTAGGAAAAAAGAATATGACTGCTATTATAAATCAGTTATGTTTGTTTTTGCCAGGAAAAATAATAATAAGGGATAAAAGTAAAGTTCTAAAATCTAAATTTAGCTAGGGGCCCATTCTTAAAAACACACTTCTAAACTAACTACAAATTGAATAATGCTGAAAACTATTCAACTTTTTCAACTGATATGGAAAAAGTCATCTGAGGTTATTTTTAAAACCATGAAACATTGCTTTTGGTAGTAAAATTGGTAGTAAAATTGATTGAATTGGATACAGTCTACGTTTAAAAGTTTTGAAAGGCCACAGTTCAGTTTCAGCCTTTGTCATTAGACATACAGTTAGCATTAAAAACCTCATAATAAAAGAACACTACACACTACTAGTTATTGTATTTTGCGGGTACTGTACATGCAGGTATTTCTAAGGTAGAAGAATGAGGCATCGGACTTTATGTCTGGTATTAATTCATTACCTTAATTCATCTTAATCAAACATTTTATGTAACTTCTTATTTTACTGTCTGTTCAAAAGAGGGTTACCATATTAAAAATGTTAGTGTCACAAGCTCTGACCTTGATTTGCGAAGTCTACAGCTGCACACAATCAGGACCCTGCTGCAATTACTTGATTCAAATTTACATTTTCCAGTTTTGAACTGATTTTTTTTTTTAGAAATCTTTCAAAACTAGGGATGGAGGATCTTGCACTTCAAATCACCCCAGTGACCGAAATGACATCCTAGAGGTTGTATTAAACTACACTGCAAACGTGGTTTCTTACAGGTGACGTTTTACTGGTGCCTCTGACCAGGGTCCCCAATGCTCAGATATCATTCTGATGCTGAGCTCTGGTTTCCAAGTCCTGCTCAGCCCGAAAACGTACACCAGCAAGCCCCAGAGTGCATTTGGTTTCACACCTTGAGTTTAGGTTACAAGACTTATACAAGCAAATAAACCCCCATCTGAAACAGGAAATATCGGCTGGATCTTATTTTGTTTCCTTTTCACGGGCAGACATTCAAATGTGCGGTCAGCTAATCCAAATGTGAACCAACAACAAGTTATTTTTTCATTGTACACAAAACTACTTGTGCAAGACTAAAAGTTAACAAAGTTTACGGGGAACAGCTGTACATTTGAATTCTATGATAACCAACATGAACAAATAAACACAAAAAAGCAGGAACCTGTTTTTGCATTGGAGACCAAAGAAAGGAAAAAAAGAATATTGTCTTGATTGGTAGGTATAATGACGTCTGTTGAGTCCGTGGATTTCTAAACACATTTGACAGCACATTTAAAGATATCTGTTAATTACAGAACTGTTCAGAAATATTTTAATGCAAAAATACTTTATGAAAAAGACTCAATCTTGCTTTGCTCATTTTCTGTATATCCTCTGTTTTGTGAATGAAGAAGATACGTTTCCTTGCCGGCATCCCATCCCCCTTTCTACACAGCCCCACAAACAGCGCTGTCTGGCCGTACTGTGGTTGTGACCTCCCTGAAGGTGTGGCTCACCTGTATGATTAGAGTGGTGGAGGTGCTCTGAGCTGGCTGGCCACGGTCTGTGGCTGTCACAGTGAAAGAATACTCTGCTCTCTCAGTACGACTCAAGGGAGAAGATGACCTCAACTCTCCTGTATTTGGGTTCAAAGAAAATCGTTCCGCCCTAGGGCCTGGAAAGATCAGTACACAGCAAAAAGCATTTAGAAACAGATCAAATACAAAATGGATGTTAATGTTTTATTTTAAAAAGCAAATAGCCTGTAAAAATAACCACTTTTACCTTTTAAGCATCCACAACAAAATGTTAATGGAAACATACTGTAGTTAAAAAAAGTAAGCCTTGAAGTTTCAGATTACTCACTCTGCTCCTTTGAATGCATAAGTGCTGCAACCCGTTGAAAATTAAAATATCGTAATATGTCTCCCTATTTTTCAGATTTTACATGTAAATCACTCAAGTTAACATTTTGAAGTGTGATTTTGAGTGTTGTAGAAATAAGCAGATAATTCTCTTCCCAACCTTTGGAATATCTTTTGAAACACTAGCAAGATGTGGGGCCTGATGAGTCAAGACTGGGCAAAGTTGTATCATTTTAAATGTTAGCTCACAAGAGAAGCTGCCTCTTCTAAGCTAGACATGATCAGTCATTTGAAAATCTTCCAAAGCTTTTTTTCAAAATAGAAATAAAACATATGAGGATACTTGAATAAATGAAGACCTAAGATCTTCAAATGCAAAGATTTTTTACAGTGGTACCCTGGGACCATATACCTCTTCACTGTGTGTTTTCTCTTACCTGACAGAGAGTAGTAGATGGTCCCATTTTCTCCTTCATCAGGATCCTTAGCCTGCACCGTTCCTATCAAAGTGCCAGACGGCTTGCCTTCCTGCACCTGTGAGGGAAACAGAGACTTTAACCCCTGTAGAAAAGATAATCTCCAGCTCTACGTGAGCTTGACCTAGACTGCTGCTGCAAGCCTGGCCCATAGCAAGAACATACCCATTGACAATGCAGCTCCAGGCTTCCTCCTACCTGCATGAGAAGGTCCCTCCCGGGCTTTGCATGTGTAAAGGAGGGGGCATTGTCATTCTCGTCCAGCACCGTGATGTGTGCAGTGCCCGTGGCGCTCCGAGGAGGCGTGCCACCATCCTGTACCACCACCACCAGCTGGTAACTTGACTGGTGCTCCCGGTTCAGAGCGGTCCGTGTGCTGATCTCTCCTGCAGGGAGGGGAAGGGAGAAGGGAGCTGTCAGCAAAGCTGGCCATGCATGTTTACATTAGATGGCTTTTAAAAAAACTAAACACAACAGTGACGCATACAGAAGATTCATGTCAAGACCACCGGCTATGCTCTCACATTGTAGCTGATGAAAAACAAAGCTTTCCAGGCTATAAGGATAACAGAAATCTGAGGAAGAATCCAAGTATTTTCTAGGCAGAGCTTGTTGCTAAGCTGTTCAGTTTCATCTGGAGGTATGGCCTTGCTGCCAAGCAATCTTGCTGCCAGAAATCTTGAGCAGTTCAGCACAGAATCAGTTTTACTGAATTTCATCAGATGTTTGACTTTCAACCTCTTATGTCTTGATGGTCATCTTGGGAATGTACTGCTTACCACACAGCAGTGACTTCTGATGCTTGCCTGGGACTCCAGAGACTAAGCATTTAGTTTAACAACTGTGTCTTGCCCCTGCTAAGAACCAAAGCTTGGCCATCTGAATAGCACATTCACATTACTAAAAAAAAAGTGTAGAAGGGAAAATGATTAACATATTAAGCTTACCAGTTTGGGAGTTTATCTGGAAGTTCCGGTCAGGGTGTAGGAGTCGGAAAGTAAGGCGGCTGTTAAGCCCTGCATCCCGATCAGTTGCCGACACTCTTCCAAAACCAGTACCTTCTGGCAAATTCTCTCGTACTGCCAGGAAAGCCCGCTCCTGTGCAAGTCTGGGGGAGTTGTCATTCTCGTCTGTTACCGACACTCGGACAGTGGCGCTGCCCGTTTTCTTCAGCTGACCACTTCCCGAGGTGGCTAGGACAGTCAGCAGGTATAGATCCTTGGCTTCTCTATCCAGGGCACTCTTCACAAACAGCCAGCCGGAGTCGGAAGCAATGCCGAAACCTGCCGCGTCCCCATCCGGGCGAAGGTGGTAAGCCAGAGGACTGGAGCTTGCTGTGCTCCCAGTGGGGCTGCTGGCGGCTTCCTGGTTCAGCGCTCGCACCTGGAGGAAGCGTGTGTTGAGCGGGGTTCCCTCCTTCAGCTCAACGCGGTAGGTGAGGGTGTCGAAAACTGGGCCCTGGTTGTTCTCAGCTTGCACGTGCACCACCAGGGTGAAGGTCGCACTGAGTTGGGGAACCCCACTGTCCTTGGCCGTCACTTGTAGGTCGTAGCGCGGAGTCGTTTCGTAGGACAGGCTTCCGATCAGCCGGATCTCCCCACTACTGCGCTCGATGCCAAAGGTACGCTGCCCCCCGGTGGAAGCCAGGTCAAAGCTCAGCTGCCCATTGGGACCCGAGTCGCGGTCTTCAGCGCGCACCCTGTAGACCACTGTGCCCATTTTGGTGGCCTCAGGCAGGAGCAGGGACTCCGAGGACGAAGGCAGGAAAGAGGGAGCGTTGTCGTTGACATCCGCGATGGTGATGCGAACCCGTGTCTGCCCAAAGGCCGGGGGCATGCCACTGCGAGCCTGCACCTCCAGCTCCAGCGAAGGACGGGCCTCATGGTCGAGAGGAAGGCTGGTGCGCAGGGCCCCCGTTTCGGAGTCCACTGTGAAGTAGCCATCTGGATCGCCAGAGGAGATTGTGTAGAAGACGTCTTTGGACTCCCCTGAAGGAAAGAAGTAAGAAAAGCCAAGACCATGAACTGAGAAGCAAAATAAGGAACACATGCTGTTTTAGCTTTTTGATATCAAACTTGATAGTCTGCATGATTTTTGCTGATTTATTCTGTTGGACTTGCACAACCTTATCAATAACTTAAGAAAATATTGCTACTAGGACTGAATCACCTAGTCAAAAGAAAAAAGAAAGACACAGTATTTACAAACAACATGATGTCACTCACTACAGCCATCATTGTTAGTTTCATGAAGGGAAGACTAGAAAATGTTTAAAATAAAAAATAAAAATAAATAAACTTTAAGTCTTATCCTCAGAATGGCCTTTTTTTAATAAAGGTATGTTTTTCTAAAAAACTATAGAGTATTTCTACATCCAAAAATGAAAATGGAAAATATTTATAATCCAAACAATATCTAAAACATACTTCTAAATGAGGTGTATACGGTACATACAAAGTGCCTCCAAAGAAAGTTTGTACATCTGGTGTAGATAAAAACATATTGGAAACATAGTATATCAAGTCTGTCAGCACATTCCATCACAGAATTATCTATGTGCTGGCTGAAAAGAAAAACTTTCATTCTGACAGTGACTTTTCCTCAGTTTCAGTCATTTTTTTCCAATCTGGTTTTAAAATGTTATTTTTACTGCATTTGCGCTTCTAAAATATTTTTGACTCGATTTATACCAATATAGTTAAAATGCATTACATAATGGGGGAATTGTTGTACATAAAACGTGTATAAAGGAAAAAGAAAACTGAATATGTAGTCTAACAATGTGAAGACTTTGATAGTGCCATTTTCTATCAGCATATATGGAACCTGGATATAGACTCAGACTTGCACACGTACCATTTCTGCTCATAGCTCGCACCACTCCCACCTGAGTCCCCCGCAGCACATCCTCAGAGACAGTAAAGAAGTAGTGTGCCTGTTCAAACACAGGGGGCGCCACTGAGCCAGCAACCACACTGATATTGACCCTGGCATTAACAGGAGCCATAAGCCCCCCACCATCCTGTGCAGTGATGACCATCTGGATCACAGAGTTGGCCTTCCCATGAAGAGAGCGAGACAGCGAGATCACACCTGCAGAGGGACACAGACAGACTCCTTGTAACGTTGTTGGACATATGTTGAATATTGTTAGGTTTTTTTTTAAGAATTATAATTCTGGAAATTAAAGCTGTTTTTTTTTTCCCCTGTGTTGTTCTTTTCCATAATAATGTGTTGAAGTACATTATTAAACTGACAGCGTGCAAAATAAATCTAAGGGACTACAAACACCAAAGATTTTGCATTAGGTCCCACAAACCTGTGTCTTTGTTGAGCGTGAAGTATTGTGAGCTGCCCCCTGGAACTGTACGGTACGTCACTCGGCCATTCTCCCCTTCGTCATGGTCGTAGGCCGTTACCCTGACAACAGAAGTACCAGGGGCACTCTGCGTGCTCAAGCTGACTGCATAGTGGACTGGGTAGAAGGTTGGTCTGTTGTCATTAATGTCAACCAGGAATACCTTCACGTAGGCCATTGAGTTAAGACCACCCTACAGAGACAAAATGATCCTTATTCCTTTTGCTTAAAAGAGAGAAGCATATTCAAGTTTTAGAGAAACACAATTCCTCTTAACCAAGGAAATAGTTATCAATACTGGATGGATATTTAAGTGACTTCCAATTACTAGATTTAAAATGCAAGAACAGCGGAATAAATGCCAAAACAGTGACAATAAACAGTAATTACTATAAATTTAAGAACTATGGTGTGTTTTTCTTAACAAAGAGTCACAGTCTGAAACAAATGCAAATCATACATACAGTTGGCTGACCCACTTGCGGTTCACTGAAAATGTTATAAAATTAAAATTGCTCCATGTTTGTCTTGGGGTAGGCTTCCATAACAGTGCAGAAAGTTACTGTACATTTTATTAACCCCAGTCTGACCTAAACAACTCTTCAAAAGTATAGATGTATAAAATCGCATCTTATATGGCCTCTGTGCCTTCTAGAAAAATTACAGTGGATCTTACAAATAGCAAGTGCAACCTAATAATTAACTGGTTTATTACATCTATAGCAGGTAAAATTAATTAAAAACATCCCCAGCCATACAGAAAAGAATCCACAATAACACGTAGTCTTCTTGTCAGCACACAGTTTCTAGACATACTGTATATTCCCCAGAGAGCACTTTAGGAGCAGTTGTCATGACTGATGCAGGCTGCACTGGTTGTCACTGTACATCCGGTAGTGTTTGTTTCATTGGCTTTTAATGCGGAAAATGTACCAAAGACCCTGAGGGCAATTTGTAAAGGGAAAGAAAAGACGGGTGAGGGAGCGTGGGCTTATTACTGCCTGGCATTCTTTGAGGTTTCTCCTATGATTACTTTAACATAACTGCAACAATTTCCATTCATTTTTAGCAAATTATTTACCCTTTAGTAAAATGTGTTTTGGCATAATATACAATGATATTACAGCACAAATCTCTGCCAGAGAGATTCAATTGGCTTTTTTATTTCTTGTAATGAGAAAAGCTTCCTTTTGTAAGGCTGCTTTTAACCGGACCCTCCAGAACACTGTTTCTCAATGCCTGATTCATGGTGGCCTTAATGCCAGCCCATTTGAGGTTTCATTGAAAACAAAATAAGAAATTGTCAGACAAGTTATATCTAGTTATACTGTAGATATATTGATAAAAGAAGTGTGGAATTTCATGAACTCCCAAACAGTAATCACTTTGAGCTCCATCAGCACCACTCCACAAGGGAACATGCATATCAGAAAGACAGTCTGAAAGACTCAGTTCTGCACGCAACATGCAGGACACTGGACATCGAGTCTACAGATGGAGGCTTGTGACTCATTATGGAAGAGTCGACTTAGGTTAAAGTTTCTATTGCTTCACTCCTTTGCTTACCACAAACCTTTAAGCACAATATTTTCTTAATCTATACTGGTTAAGGTAAACTGAAAGACTGTTCGGCATTAGAATATTTGTAAGCTATGTTTTATGGTGTTATTGGACTGGTGACATTTTAGATACTAGCTACTAGATGTTATTACAAATATCATCATAACTTCATGCAAGCATAAGAAATGAAACTGATTTTAATCATTTTGAATGTACAGTATATATTGTTTCCGGGTATGTAATTTCCTTCGGTTTGCATGTATTGTACAATACAGTATGTGGCAAATAAAGAGAATAGCATCTGTTTACCTTTTCTTTGAGGAATGTGTCAGTAGCGTGGGAGTGCCGCCTCTCTAACTCTTGGAGAGTCTTCTGCGTGGAGTTTGTATTTTCGACTCATGTCCGAACCAAACTAAGTGAATTTTTGGTGGGTGCTGCTGGGTGAGTGCGAGTGCCCTATAATAGACTCATCTGGTGTCCTGTGAAGTTTGGTGTAGTTCCCACCTTGTGCTCTACGTTTCCGGGAGAGCATCTGGGTTATCATTACCCTTACCAGGTCTCAAGAGTCTTTCCAATAACAGATGGATATATACTGTACAGTATATATATATGTAATTACTTTGGTGCCTGTCCATCTGTTTTTTATAAAGACATATGTCAGTAACTACATGACTCACATACAACATACAACACAGAGAGTATCGGGTCTATACTGTAAGCTGGTCAGTTTCAAACATTTTCAGAAAATAAAGCTGTTATCTGGCTGGAAAAGCACAAGTCTGTGTGTTATGATCCAATACTGCATGGGAGCCTTGCGTGCTATTGGGATTCATGTCATAGTCTCTACTAAGCAGGGTGAATTTCAGGCTGTTCCACATTTTTATGGACATGCAGTTTGTAAGCTTTCATTTCATGTATAATACGTACAGTACATATAGGTCTTATAGTTAAAAGGTTAAATGAAAAACAGTATTGATCTTAAAACTGCCAAATAGTCCTTGGTTTAGGATGCTTAGGAAGGCAGCCAACCAGCCAGTCCCTAGTATTAAAAACATGGAAACATTCTGCTCTAAAAACTATACCTAAATAATGTTTTGATGCCTGAAAGTATCCTCTCAACTCAGTATGAAACTAACTGCCTGTAAGCCCTGTTAATAACTTTGTAAAATGAAGTATTATACTTTTCTTCATGGATCGTATGCAATACACATCATCTTATAAGTATTTAACCTGATTCAAAGACTTCTGGTGCTTAATTCTTCAACAGCATTCAGTAATTCAGTACAATGATGCATATCGCTAGACAGTTTGTATTCTCAGAACTTTTCAAGTGTAGAGAAAAAAAAATGTTAGCACACATTTAGTACAAAGAAACTTCATTTTCTCTCTAGCTTCTCTTGAACTCACCCCATCGACTGCGGTGACAGTGAAATCGTAGCTGGTGGTGCCCAGGTCTCTGTCCAGTGCCACTTTGGTGCAGATCTGGCCAGTCTCTTTCCCGATGGTAAACTGTGTGGGTGTGACGCTGCCCAGGCCAGAGCCAATGGAATAGGAGATGGTGCCAAAAGAGCCACCGTCTGCATCCGTTGCGGTTACCTGAGCAGAAGAATGTAAGAAAACAAAGAGGTTCATACCTCCTCCTTCATTCCCCTACTGCAGAAAAAAAACAGAACATTACAGAAGTGTTTTATTTAACCTGAGAAGCAAAATGGCTTGCACAACTCAGTTTAGGTTATGCTTTTAAGTTATTCAGAGAGGTACTCATTACACACTCAATGCAATTTTTAAGGAATGCCTCATCACCATTGCATGAAATAATTGCTATAGCTGCAAGAGCCATTATATGAAGCATTTCACTACGAATTAAAAATAATTTATGCCTAGAATATCCCGTGCAATCGTTGCAAGGTTTTTCTAAATACGCAAGCAAATTTAGCATACTCATTTAACTAAACAGTTTTGTACATGATTAGGACATATACTGTAAATGAACCGTGGAAACGTGAAAGATTCCTTTCCTCACTGGTCAGACAAGTTGGGTTCTGTTATCATTTGCACAATATGCGGATTAATTAATAGACAGCTTTACTGTATAACTACCCTTGTATTTGATGTGCTATCATCTGAGTCAGGCCCATTTAGAAAAAAAATATTGTGCCATTTATTATTATTACCTATGGAACTGCTTTAATTCTTTAGGAATGGGGCAAACGATTTATGCAACTGACCTATGGGTTGGTACCACCTGAATTTGTTATAACATAAAGAATCATTAAGGCAGTATGGACTGTCCAGGACATTAGCTGTTACTGAAATAACATTTATTTCAATACAAAAGAGTGGAGTATTTCTCATGGCCATGAAAGTGAAGTTTTCAAATTGGTTCTGCTCGGTCAGAAAACCTTTTATGTCTGTCTGGCTGTGATGTCTGTGGGTATTCAACTCAAGTCTAGTATTTGCATGGTTTCTTAGATTTCTGGATTTTAATTCAATTCAGTTTTATTTGTATAGCGCTTTTTACAATGGACATGGTCACAAAGCAGCTTTACAGATTTCCGGGCCTGAAGCCCCAGTGAGCAAGCCTAAGGCAACAGTGGCAAGGAAAAACTCCCTAAGACTAAAGTAGGAAGAAACCTTAGAGCAACCAAGGCTTGATTTATCCTTTGAGTTATGGGTTAGTATTCTGCAAACAGAATGTACGGGAAATACCAAGTTTTGAGAAATTAGCTTCGATACAGAAAATAAACTGTATAATTATTATTAGTGACTACTCCTTCCTGGTTCCATGGAACACTATTTATGGTATTCTCCTGCAATTGAAATGGTTATGATTTCCCTTGTGTACTATAACATTACTATGTCTGTGTTTAAAATGAAATGTCACTGTCCCCCACAGCAGATTTCATTGACAGGTTGGATAATGTGTTTCCAGATTGATCTTGAGAGAATCTGGGCACATGCACAGGGTTGTTAAGGGAACAGGGCAATGGAAGCACATACTGTACTGTATTTAATGGAGAATCCCATTCTCAATAATGATGAGCGCTGTTGCAGTGTAGGAAGTTAAACAGTAGAGGTCAAGTCTGGCTTATACAGTAGCTCATTTGAGAGCACTGGGGTCTGAAGTTGGATAACTTTAAAGCAGTTTACACAGATTTTAAACCAAATTACATGAACATCAAATTAGAGGCAAGAGCTCTAGAACATGCTCCAATATCCATTAATTTATACAATATGAAATACACGTTCTACACGTGAAACGTGAACTGTCTCTCAAAATCAGTAGTTACAATAAATCGTTTCAATGTCTCACCTCCCTTAGTTTGGGGAGACTGGAAGTACAGACACGAGTGCTATAAGCAATTCCCTCCAAAGTGAGTATCCCTTGCTGAATCCATTTGAAAAGCAATTCTTGTTTGTCTGTGAAACATTGCCAACATGCAGAACCATCTGGCCCTCTGGCAGGCAGATGCTTTTTTTGCGAAGGGTAGACAGGCTTTGGATGGCTTTCACAGAGCAAGCCGCTTGTAAAGTGGTGGGACTGCTGCCAGGGGGAGACTACTCATAGCGACACCAGTCTGCGCCGGGCAGCGAAGCGGGGTTATACAGTACAGTACAGTAAAGTAAAGCACGCCTAAGGAAAGGCATGCATGATGTATTGCTGGAGCCAGAGCTGCTCTCCTGTGGTGGGGCTGAAGGGCTGCAACATGTAGCAGCCAGGGCTCCCCAGCTCCACAGACGTCAGCCAACAAGTGAACTCAATTACCGCTGCTCCCAAGTGGGAGAAGTCAAATAAACCAATCAGACCAGGCCTCTAGATACAAGGCAAATTAATTGCTTGCAAGCGTTGGCCCCGGCCATTGGGAAGTGGGGAGGAGGGGTGGTTGAGTTAATTCTTGTGTATTTGAAGACATTTCTCTGGAAAACCAAGCTTCAGAAAAGCTCTTCTGCATTGAAGGAGCCACCCACACTAGGACACCCCCATAAACATAACCACAGGTTCTGATTGGGCGATCCCTTTTCAAGACATCTCTTTCAATAAAGAAACAAGCTGGCCCTTTTAGGCTCAAAATTACATTGAAATATTTAATTAAGATAAATAAAGACACAGCTTTTAAAATATTTGGCAGAACTGTTAACAGATCAACTGCAATCACTGTCAGAACAGACCCACTGTATATGAATATAGTTTACACATAACAAGACTGCAACAAAATGCTTCATTTTGTTTCTGGGGCCCCGCAGGAGAAACTCTGAGAAGCCACAGAAATCTCTGAGCCCCGTGTTTGAGCACCACTACCATAATGCGCATGTCTGTCATGCAGACTCAGTCACAGCTGGAATAATCTGAAAAATGTCACCAATAGTCAATATACAATAAAGTACTGTAGGTTACACAAGAAGGACACATGCTTTCAGAAAACTAACAATATCACAGCACATGAAAAAGAAAAAAACAAATGGAAAGGGATTCATAAAAAAGATTCTACTAGCAATTATTTTTAGAATGGGAATCTTTTGTGAACAGTGTGGTTTCTGCATGAGACTGATTTACAGTTTCATATATCAGATGGCAGATAGTCTAAGGTCTGAAAGGAGAGATTTGGCAAGCAAACAGTGTCATTTTCACAGCTGAAGTCAAGGCGGGTTCATAGAGTAGCTACTGATCTTCAGGGATGACAGTATTGGACACTGAAGCCTGTGGTTTACCCATAAAACAGGGCAATGCTCTCTGCCAAGACGGGGTAAATGAAATGCTGACTTTCCTTTTTTTGGCAACAAATTCTATGATAACAGAGCTCAGTGTCTGAAGATCCTCATCACTTTAATTAATCTTCTTTACACATTCCAAGAACGTGTCAGGAAAACAGGACAATTCTAGATTTCCATTAGTTCCACTTAGGTGGTTCAGGAAAATTAAATTTAGAAGTGACAGCAATGTGGATTAATGGTTATAACTCTGGACCTTCAGCTGGAAAGCTGCAAGTCCAATTATCCGGTGGGATGCTGCTGTTGTAACCTAGAGCAAGGTTTTTCACTCATATTGCTCCAGTAAAATGGCCTGCTGTGTAAATGGGTACAAATGTAAGCAGCTTTAGATAAAACCATCAGCCAAATAAAATAATATTAAGCAAAGGGATGGATGCAAAGGTGGAAACTCAGCACTTGAGCTAAAAATTTAAATTTTAAGGCCTGGAATAACAGGTCATTTTGCAGTTTGCATTACCTAAAACAAAGCATAAGGAATAAAATGACAGTTACCTTGAACAATAATGTAGAAAATCTATAGATTTTATGTAAACATCTAAAACTGACAAAAATGTACCAATAACAATTTAATGAAGGCTGACTGCGCAGCCACAGACCTAAAGGTTTTATAGGAAGGAATGCCTATACATTAAACAAATGACTACATCAATTAAGAAATTAAAACCAGGAGGCACTGATTTAATGGGTGAAAGCTTACAACAGAAGACAAATTTATGTAGAGATTTTTACCAGCAGACGATCTTAAGGCATTTAATGTTAAAAAGCCAAGTTCAATAAAGGCAGAGTTGAATATAAAAGGGATACAATTTTTAATCCATCGCTGATAAAAATTGGGAGATAATTTTATAGACAAGGAGCTTTACAAACAGAAGACCTGCCATCCACATTTTTCCAGATGTTAGAAGCCCAGAATCCAGAATACATGTACTTAGTGTGAAAAGGACTACTCGGTAACTTCCCCATAAGAAGATGGGGTTAGAAGATAGAACGGCACCCACTTCATCCACCATTGAACTAAAGCACTCATTTGGGTGATGCAATAGTAACCATTATGCACCAGCAACCCCACTACAGAAAAGTCCAGGTATAGAAGAGAGAAATTGCTTAACCAGTTGTATTAAAGGGAAACGTTCGGTAGGCTAGACTGTACAAGCCAAGATGCGAATTTAGCCACTTGAGCAGCAATCCTGCTTTGTGTAGAGCTTTCCCATACTAGTACTGTCCAGGCCCAGCTTTGCTGAGCTTATGAGATTTGATGAGTTTAGACTACAAGGTGGCATCCCTGCTGTCAGAAAAGTACCAAAGCTAGAAGCTTGGTGATAAAGAAAAAAAATCCTAACAGCTACTCAAGTACAGAAGACAATGACTGTATCCTGTATTCTTTACAAGCTGTAAATATGAAATCGGAGATTGAAGTACACTGTCAAATAACACGTTACAATAGACAATGCAAACAGTTAGAAATAACAGGCAAATGTAGCCTTTCCTGACTAGAAAAAGTTAAAAAATATTGCAGTACCAATTTTAGGGTTGAAGGGTTTATCGACCTACAGTACTACAGTATGTCTAGTTCTGATTATACATTTTTCCTAACTTAAGATTAAGATGAGATAGAAAGATAGAACAAAGGTCAGCGTAGTGCGGAGCAAAGACCTGGTTCACAGATATAGTCATTTTTCCATTAAAAATTTCAATGAGTGAAAAACCAGGATCAGAATCATACTCTGAGGGAAACATTTCCTATCGTGTTGCGTTTCAGGCTGTAGAAGCCCTGAAAGTAAGCCCTTTCAATACAAACCCAAATCCACATCACTTTCCATTTCAGT